AACAAGTTTCTTCAATGGTCATCTTCATCTTTCTTTCTGACTCAGGTGATGTTGCCAGGAGCATTTATGTCTCACTGTCAAGAAAAACCCTAAACCATTTTAAATGCCATATTCTGTAGGTCTTTGAAAGGTTTAAAGAATGCCTATTCATCTCAAATACATCTCTGTATATCTAGAAATCCTAACTCACCTAGCTATAAGTTTTGACTATTATAGGTAGCTATCTGTACTAAATTATACATTACATTTTTAAATGAGCTATATAAACACAATACCTAAACAAAAGGAGAAATATACATATCACAAAATTGACCTTAAATTGTATCAATAAATGAAAATCTATTCCAAAGCAAAGTATCAATTTCTATGCCATAATCCCCTTTTTACCTTTAAAAATAATTGGCTGTGGTCATTAACCATTTATAACCAAGCCCACTTAAATGAAAACAAACATTTATAAACAATATTTGGGAATTTGGGCGTCGTTCTTTCTAAACTACTTCCTGCTGATAGGGGGCGCTGTCATGGGGGAATCCTAAGAAGATGAAGAAATCCTGGCTGTAATCTGCAAGGCTGCTTTGTTCAAGCTGTTTTGAATGTAGGATCACCAGCGACTGTGTTTCAGGGAGCCTGGCTTGATCAAACCACATTAGTCTGGAAGGAATCCACAGCTTTTCATTTTCTGTGGAAACAAAAATAGAAATCCTTTTCCCCAGTAACTTGTCCTTGAACTTAAATTTTGAAGTCAAAGCATTTTTAAAATATATAAATTGAATTAATCCAGCAGCATTTCTTTTATCAGTTGTTATTTCCTCAGCAGTCAAAAGATACAAAGACAATATAACCCCATACAGTATCCAGATTCTCTCTGAGCTTTCCATCTTTAAGTGGCTTTATTATTACTCTCTTTCTTCTATCTTTTCATTTTTTGAGACAGGGTTTCACTGTGTAACTCTTATCTGTCCTGGAATTCACTCTGCATACCAGGTTTACTTGGAATCACAGAGATCTGCTTGCCTCTGTCTCCGAGTTCTGGGATTAAAGGCGTGTGCCACCACACCCAGCTGTTCTCTGTCTTTTTAAAACCATTTTTTTTAAATTCTCTTTCTCTCCCAAGCCTACATATATTTTAGAACACACTGTAAACCTTTAGAGGTTTTTCTTAATATGAATCTGTCTTTATTGTAAATCTTTATCTTTTTCTGGCCATGAGTCTTTTATCTGGTAAACAACAACATTGTTAAAATGGAAGTCTTTGTTGTTTCTGCCGAGGTTATCAAAGATGGCGGTGGGTACTTTTACCGCCAGCAATGAAAGCTGTGGTCACTGCCCTGGTCAACGTTGCCATCCAGCAGGCATGCTGCTGGCTTGGAGATGTGGTCACTGCCATCACCATCTCTCATGCACACCAATAAATTGTTAGCAGAGTTACTTAAAAGCTGTACAGTTTTTTGCCGCTTATGCTGAGTCAGGAAAATTCCCTTAAAGGAGCTGCGCAAATATCTGCTTGTCTCTCGCAAAACAGAGTCCAACTGAGAAAAATGCTGTTAGTAAGAAGCCTTGCTTGTCTCTGTTCTTTTTTTCTAAAACCCCTTCTTTAAGCTTTTGTTAAATTTTAAGTGGAAGTTCTTACTAGTCATGTGGGCGCCATATGTAAGGAGTATGGTTTTTCCTCCAGCGGTGCCATCTGTAAGGTGTAAGGTTTTTCCGTCCGCCGCCCGGTCTTGTCCCGCCGCCGCACCAGCCCCAAATAACACACAGAGACTCTGTATTTGATATAATTCTGTTGGCCTGTTTCTTGTTTCTTATCGGTTAGCTCTGTCTTAATTATTAATCCATTTCTATGTATTTCCACATGGTCTTACCAGCGAGAGGCAGCTGGTGATTCTGTTCTCTCCCGTCTCTCCATCATCACTCCTCCTTATGGCCTTATAATCTTTTTTTACCCCAGACAATGAATCTTACAAGGGCAGACATTGTTATGTCTTTTGTCCTTACTGCTGTACACCTGCTGCCCAGTTCCTGGCTTACATACCAGTCATGGCAACTATGCAGCAAATGCTGTTGAGTATGTGAGAAGTTAGAGAACCTGTTTTTTAGGCTCCTTGTAAATATTCCTCCATTGCTGTGACAACATATCTGAGATGAACAATTTACAAGGAGTAAATGCTGACTCACACTTGGAGAGGCTAAGTCAGCTGAGTCAGCAGGCTCCCTTGTCTGTTTTGCTTTTGAGACAGGGTCTCTCTACATATCCCTGACTGTCCTGGAACTCCACTATGTAGATCAGGCCAGCCTCAAACTCACAGAGATCTGTCTGCCTCTGCCTCCTGAATTCTGGAATTAAAAGTGTGGGCCCTCGTACCTTGCCCCCTTTTTGATTCCATCGAAAGGTAGACATGGCAGGAAGCATGTGATGGAGTGAAGCTGTTGATTTTATGGTGGCTAGGAAGCAAAAAAGAGACAGGAAGGGGCAAGGCTCCAGCACCTCTTCAAGGCATGCTCCACTCACTCCTAGCAGGCTCCACTTCTAATTCTATTACTTCCCAGCAGCGCCATAGGTTAAGGACCAAGCAAGCCTTCAGCACACGAGCTTCTGTGGGGGACTTAAGGTACAAACCAACTGGACATAATGGTGTATGCTTTTAGTCCCAGCACTTGTGAGGCAGAGTCAGGTGAATCTCTATGAGTTTGAGGCCAGCCAGAGATAGCACAGTGAGACCCTGTACCAAAACAAACAAACAAACAAACCCATATTCCAAAAATGCTCATGTCTCATATTAATGTAAATAGCAACAAACAGAATAAAAACTACAAGCTCTCATCTCAAAGGGGACAAGAGAGTTTATTTGGGGTATAAATATGAGCAACCAGGCCTGGAAACACAGGTTTAGGCTACCCTAAATACCAGGTTCCAACATGATAACAGTCTTGTGAAATCTTTGTAGTAACAGAGCAGAGGATGTCGGAAATCAACACACTTTCCAAATAACGTGGTGAGGTTATCAGCTGGGTGGGTGACAGCCCCTCTGTGCAGCCTCAGATGTCTTAGTTTTGGATTGGTGGAAGGTAGGTGTCTGTTTGTACATTCCCAAAAGACCCACTAGTAACGAAAGTGTTAAGTCATACCCAGAGGTGACAATAAATGGCTACCAAGGGGGCAAATCTAGCCCTGGGTAGTTTGTAATTAGGTTCTAGACCTGCAACATTCCAACCTCCCCACAGCCATTGTGGTTCTAATTAGTTGAGCAGCCTTTGAAGAATTTTTAGCATAAAGTACAGCTTCTTTTCAGGAACCTCCATTCTCATTCTCCTGGTAACACAAGCATTTCGTCCATCTCCAACAGTCCCCAGAGTTTTAACAGTTGTTCAAGTTTAACAAATGTCCAAGTTGGAAATCTAAGGTCCCAGCCAAACTTCATTGTAAATCTAAGATCCAAAGGCACGACATAAATAAACATTCTCATTCCAGAAGGGAGGAATATGGCGCCGAAAGGAAGGATCAGACAAAAGTAAGGCAAAACAAAACCCCAGCAGAGAAAACGTGAGGTCTGCCATCTCCATGGTCAGCATGCTGGACACAGTGACTTGAGCTCCAAAAGCCTTGCTAACGGCAGCCCACCTGACTGCTCCCTCAGGCTGGCTCTGTTCACTAGTTGCAGCTTCCTGGGCAGGCACTCTAGAAACATCCTGTCCATTGCATCTTCCATTGCAGCTGTGGTTTCACTCAGTGCGGCTTCATGCATTGCCCTCCTGATGGGGTGGGTGGGCACCACTTGCAGGACTCCTACCCTGCCACACATGCCTGACCTGGTCCAGGCTTTTCTTCTGAAATCTCAATGGGAGTATTCGCTGATGTCATTATCTGCTGTGTAATGAGTTCAAAGGCAGCCTCAGCTATACAGACCTGGTCTCAAAGTGTGGTGGGGAGGGCAGGGAACAGGCTGGAGAGATGGCTCAGCTGTTAAAATTACTTGCTGTGAGATCGTGAGGATCAGCGTTCAGATCCCAGTAGGGCATCCTACATAAGCCTATAACCACAGGTCTGAGGAGAGGTGGGGAGAGGAGGATTGCCTGGTCTCGATGGCTTCTGGTTCAGATATATGCATACGAACCTCAGATTCAGACAGGCCCTCAAAGGAATAGGTGGAGTGACAGAGGACTCGTGACTTATCCTGGCTTCTATGTGTGCACAAGTGCAAGGCTCAACACACACAGATGCATATACTTACACACACACACACACACACACACACACACACACACACACACACACGCGCTCCAATGAGTAAAAATTGGGAGAAGAGACAAGTATATAGAGTGAACCTATAGTGAGTACAGATGAGAGGAGCAGAACAATGCAAAGTGGGCGAGGACCTGGCTAGGACATTCATAAGCTTATTGAATGGCTGGTTTCAAGAGGAGGAACAGTGGCTTTGGTGGAGTAGCTTTATCACTCCGGAAAGACAGGAGGGCTGCTGCTTCAGTCTGAAGAGGTTTCGTTTTGTTTGTTTACTTTTGTTGCTTTTTGAGACAGGGTTTCTCTGTGTACCCCAGCTACTCCCGTTATAGACCAGGCTGGCCTCCAACTCAGAGATCTGCCTGCCTCTGCCTCCTGAGTGCTGGGAAGCTGTTTTTAAACAGTTGCTTTCCTCCTGCCTACCCTGGTCTACTACTTACATCAGGATACAGAATTCCCTTAGGATTTTCACTTCAGAATAATAAACTCAAGTGGACAATGAGTAGTGGTCTACTGTATAAATACTAAGGAAGGGAATGTAGAAAATAGATGAGGGCTGTGAGATGGCGCAGTGAGAAAAGGCCCTTGCTATGCAAGCCTGACAATCTGAGCCTGATCCAGGGAGCCTCTGTAAAGGCGCAAAGAGAACAAGTTGTCCCCTGACTTCCACAGGTGCACCAAGGCTGAGCCCCCCCAACATTATGCATATACGTAATAATAGATAAAAAAGCAAGAATATATATCAGATTCTACATTAGACTAGTAATTAAAAATAATTTTATTTTGACTTACATGATTGAGTGATGGATACAAATACCACAAAACTGAAAGCACTTCCCCAACCAAAAGTAAAACAGAGGTGAATACAAAAGATGTGAAATTAATTATCCATGCAATATTCAAAAAGTTTCAAATCCCAAACAAACCAAACAAAAGCCCTGTAGTACCTGTGATTTGATTTTCTATAAAAGAGACATTTCACCCATTTAACAAAGACTATAGCCTATACATACTGCAACTGTACAGTGTACCTTTAAAATGAGGGATATATGCATATATATATTTACAAATATACAAAAATGTACAGGGGAACTTCACAGTTGAAATAGTATGTTGCCAGAAGCCTGGCAAATTTCACTTTAAAATGAAATGAACCCTTTTAAAAGTCTTGCTAAAACTAATATCTAATTGGTATTTTATACAAACACATCCAGAATACAGTTTAAATTGCACTCACACATATTGTTGTGATTTCTTGGCATACCCACCCCCTCCACACTTAGTAAGTGGCTGAATCTCCACCCTGGTTCTGAGCTGCTATTGAAACTACAGGGTGGTTTCTATCTCTCAAGGTCAGGCACTTCATAGTCTCCTGAACAATTTTTATAGAAGCAGTTAGGACTCAACCAAACTCCAGGTCCCCCTCTCGAAAGAACAGCACATCTTTCTAAATCTACAACTTTGAGGTTTGTATTTGTCTTGGGAAAAACAATTATGTAGGTGGAACAAGGCTGGTGCCTGGAATTCCAGCCCTGGAGGCAGAGACTGAAGAAATGTTGCAAGTCCAAGGTCAGACTGGTCTATATATGGAGCTCAGGGACAGTCAGGATTGCAATGAGACTATCTCAAGATCAAACAAAAACCAAACAAAAAGAGTGGGCTGAAGATATGATAAGAACCGGAATGTGATAAGGATGGTTCTTGTTAAAGGACAAAAGCTTAAGCTTCAAGTTTTTTTTTTTTTTTTTTTTTTGTTGTTTACTTTTAATAGTATTGGTACAATCTTAATGAAGCAGTATTTTTCAATTAATCTTTTAAACTGTGTGAATAGATGATATGGAAATTCTCAGGATGGAAAAAATGAAACAAATAGTAGGAAATACAAAAAATACTAAGATACAAAACTTAGATCTGCCTCCCTTCCCAGTTGCCTTGGGAACTCCCTGGGTAGCTGAAGATGACCTTGAAATTCGGGTCCTATTCCTCCACTTTCTGAGCACTGAGCTTATATGGGGAGCACACCCAGCCTATGTGGTGCTGGAGATGAGCCAAAACTTCATGCAAGCCAAGGAAGCACTCTACCAAGGGGGGGGGGCACATCCTCAGCAATAAAACTTAGTCTATTACAACTGATCATTCTCTTGGATTCTCTAAGGAAACTTCTCTTTGAAGTTTTTTTTTTTTTTTGTGCTTTGTTTTTAAAAGTGAAAATAGGTAGCTAAGGGGCCACTGGACACTGAACCCAGTGGAAAAGTGGCAAGGCATATGTTACTACTTATCCAAATAGCACACGGAAGCACGAAGAGTTCAAGCTTACAGATGAACTTCCGAACAGGTGCGAAGAGGACTATTTTCAATTTCACAGTAAAGTAAGATGGACTTTGAAGCGCTGTCAGACACAACTACGCCGCCGCCCGGTGAGTTCTGCACATCCCTGTTCTGTGGGCCAAGGAAAATTAGACAGCACAGCGCAATCGGACTTTGAAATCTCTACGCCGGCAAAAGCGGCAGCACCCTGCAAGTTCCAGGTGCTGTCTGTCTGGCCACAGCACAGCACCCTCTTGACCGCAAGGGCCAGGTGTCAGGACAGCAGTCAGGCAGTGCTGAAGTGTAATTTAAAAGGCCGTGGCAACTTCGGTTCCATGACGACCTCCGACTTTAACACAGTCTCGGGGGAATTTGTCTAACTGTTCATACGCCAGCCGTCCGTCTTCTCCTGGATAGGGAACATTTAAACATGAACTTAATTTCTTTATACATCACACAGGGCAGAGTGGGGGAGCTATGCTATTGCTACATTTTTCTCACAGTTCCTGGGGATTGGACCCAGGGCCTCATGCCCATCGACCAAACACTTTCCCACTGACCTACACCCTCAGCCTTCTTTTGCTATCTTAGCTAGTTCCTAGGTTAAGAAGAAGTTGTTTTATTATTCTTAATATTGTTATAGGTTTCTAGGCAATGCTTAGAAGAACCAAGAACTCTTGAGTCAACGTTAGTGACCAGATGAAAGACAAAGCACACGTCCATACCATCTGCTGCCAACTGCACATAAGAGATTAATTTTTGTTTAGTGCATTAGGGATTTCAGTAAGGCTTATCCTTGACCTCAGTGCATTGAATCTCCATGTAACTTGAATATATTCTATATTGATTTAGTTACACTATATCATACACACACACACACACACATATCATTATGCATTATAACATTATGTATGTCTACATGACTAGAGGTAAAAGTTAATTTTTAAAAGTTAGGCTTTCAGGCTTTAGATAAAAATTAGTCTTTACCCCTGTGGTAGTTTGAATGTAATTGGCCCCTACAAGCTCATAGGGAATGGTACTATTGGGAGGTGTGGCTTTGTTGGAATAGGTGTGGCCTTTTTGGAGGAAGTGTGTCACTGTGGAGATGGGTTGTGGAGATGGGCTTTGAGGTCTCACTTATGCTCAAGCCACACCCAGTATCTCAGTTCACTTCCTGTTGCCTTTGGGCCAAGATGTAGACTTCTCAGCTCCTCTTCCTGTACTATATCTCATCACACTCCCAGATGCCATGTCCTTCCATGATGACAATGTACTAAATAAACCTCTGAAACTACAAGCCGCCATCTCAATATTTTCCTTTATAAGAGTTGCTGTGATCATGGTGTCTCTTCACAGCATCAGAAACCCTAGCGAAGTTAATCCCCTAAACACACAGTGCTCTTCCAGGCAATGGATCATTCAGTCTTGTTTATAGCTGCACCTCTTGTTTATTTAGTTATTATGCATGTGGGTGTATGTGGGTGCATGTGGGTGTATGTGGGTGTATGTGGCTGCATGTGGGTGTATGTGCATCACCACATGCACGTGGAGGACAGCATTCTGGTCCCTCTTGTTTCAACCGCATTGCATACTCCACACTACATACTCCACTCTAGCTGGTCTTTGAGCGTCTGAGTGAGTCTTTTGCCTCCGTCTCTCATCTCACTGTAGGATGCTGTTATTACAGATGTGTGTGCTTCTAGCTTTTTAAATGGGTTCTGAGGACTAAGTTTATGTTGTCAGAAGTGTGCAGCTAGCATTTCACCTACTGAGCCATCTCTCTGACTCTCATAGCAACATCTTATATATCTAACATTTTGAAAATAAATTTTGTTACTATTTTTTAAAAAAAGCTGATTAAAATATAGGCATATGAGGGCTGGGCATGAGCCAGGGATAATGTTTATATTACAGAGAGAGTCAAAAGACTGTCTTGGCTACATTGAGAGGCTGTCATAAGAGAATAAAGCCAGGAGTGCTCGTGTAGGCCTATAATCCTACCTACACAAGAATCAGAGACAGAAGGATCACTACCACTTCAAGCAAAACATGGACAACTCAGTGAAATCCTGTCTCAGAATAAAATGTTTTAAAGGGGGATGTTTATGTAACCCATTTGTAGCAAGCAGGACACTGTGGGTTCAATCCCTAGTTCTCAAAAAAGAAAAAAAGAGTAAATTTGCTTATCACAATATCTTAAATCTCCAGAGTTCTCTTGTTCTTTTGAAAGGGGAAAATGAAGCATAGAGACAGATAAGATGCAGCTTTCTCAGTGAGACAACGTGCGATTTAATCAGCCGTGCATAGCTCCTTCATGAGGAGGAGAACGTAGGTCAACAAAACATTGGGAATATACTAGCATGAGTGGTTTTGGAGAAGGACAGAGCCTCAAAATAAAGCTAAAGTTCTCTATGAGTGCCACCCCCAGCACAGGTTAAACATCCGTAATCCAAAACTCCCAATCCAAAATGCTTCAATGTCCAGATCCCTGAGCACTGGTAAGACTCCGCAAGTGGGAGCCTTATACCCCTAGGTCCCGATAGGCTGTCTGTGAATTTAAAATGGTACACAAGATTGCCTTTATTACACATAATTTTCAGATTTAAACTTGGACTTCACTCCTAAGATATCTCATGTATATGCAAATACCCAATTTTTAAAAAGGCAACACACTGAAACATTTTTGGTTAAATAATTTGGGATGAGGGACGTGAACCTTTATTATTACAGCGACAAAAGCAGAGCTGCCCCTCAGGACATCTAGCTAATACCTAGCTGTCAGCTATTTCATGGCCTGGAGATACAGGCAGAGTTTTGGAGGACAGAAAGCCTGGATGTGGGGAGTCACAGGCCCCACGGGCTGTTCTGGCAAAGCCAAGGCCACTGGTAAACATGTTTGCCACTAAGCTTGGTAACTTGAGTTCAATCCCTTTGATTTACATGCTAGAAGTATCTTCACATAGATGCCCTGACAGGCATGCCCCCAACACAGATACATTCTCACATACAAAATAAATCAATGTTAAAAAAAAAAAGAGGGTCTCTCAGACAGCAAAGGTTACTAGGTTGAATTGAATGCACACTAGTTGGTGAGGAGCTGTGGCTTGGTCCTCTCAGTGTTCATCATGACTCTAGCCCTTTGTCACAGGGTGTCTTATCCATTGCCATTGGGAATACTGAATTTAGGCTTGTGTGTGAGAAAAGTACACCAGTATTTGTGCATCAGGGTCAAGGAAGAGTCACAACATTGAGTTTGGGGAGGTGGGGTCTTCCAACTCTACTGCATACTATAACCACCCAGAAGGCTTTAAAATCCCAGTGCAGGGCCCCCTTGGAGACCTCAGGAAGCAGCCGCATTGGGTGCAGCAGAGGCATGGTGACATTAGGCTTCCCTGGAGAGTAGGGCATGCAGCAAGTGGAGACGCCTGAACCCTGCCTGGATGGTGAGAGCAGCGTGAAAAGACTGATAGAGAAGCAGAGGTGGTAATCATTGTTGGAGATGCAGCAGGGAGTGCAGCTAAGCGAGTCTTGGGGCACAGGCCATGGGATACCCCTCCTCAGTTTACCATGGAAAGGGAGACATGGAAAGGGAGCTTTCCAAACAGCTGGCTATTGTTTACCTTTTTAAACCTTCATTGTCATTTCAGAACCCCGAGGGATAAAGGACTTTAAGCCACTAATACCCTGGGTATGTTTTAGAGAATTAAATAACTTCTATATCTAAAACAGCCACACAATAACCATTTTATCCTTTAAGCAAACACAGGCTAGCCTCGCTTCCTCTGCAAACAATGGTGTATTCAACAGCAGCGATAGTACTTATTAATCCCATAGCTATAAGAAAGAAGGTCTCAGAATAAATGGGATTTTCATGGTGGTTATAAGAACCATGAGTCTTCTTTACATGATGAAGATGTATTGTCAAACCAGAGTGCCTTTTTTTCCTGGAGACATTGGCAGGATTAGGCTTAAAGGCTTTTAGAGGAGCATTTTAGACTTTAGAGTGTGACTATAGTAAAGTTTTCTATAACTCTCCCTTCTTCCTGTCCCTCTCCCTCTTCCTCCTCCTCTCCGTGTGTATATGTGTAGATAGGGACTTTGTAGACCACACTGGCTTGGAACTCAATAGGGAGTCCAGGCTGGTTCCAAACTTGTGACAAGCCTCCTGCCTCAACCTCTGAAGGGCTTGGATTACAGCTGTGAGCTACCAGCAAAACTGACTATTTTATGCAGAGTTAAGAAAGGTTTTCCTGTTGGCTGAGGATGGTGGCTCAGTTGATAGACCTAACACTAACAAGGTCCTGGATTTGATCATTAGCACCAAATACATCAGCGGCTGTGTCACAGACCTGTAACGCTGGCATTTGGGAGTGGAGGCAGGAGGAGCAGTTCAAGACCATTTTTAGGGTACGTAGTGAGTTCAAGGCTAACCTGGGATACATGAGACCTTGTCTTTCAAAAAAGGAGAAAGAAAAGAAAAATCGTTGTCATCCTTATCCTCCCAAGTCTACCCAAAAGAAGCAAAAAAGGCACAAACCTTCACAAAATAAAGAGGGGAGGGGCTCTCTGGATATCCCAGAATGAAATAGTGCCAGGTGAGAATAGGACAGCAGGTAATCAGAGGCCACGGAGAGGCTGAGGCATTTGGGTTACACAGCATTCACTGTAGAGGTCAGGTACACTGACTTTGGTGTGTCATCCTCACACTGGCAGTCACGACTGGATTTCTAGAGTTCCTATTTGCCTAAGCTGTCCTTGAACCTGAGGTGATTCTCCTGCCTCAGCCTCTTCAGTGTTGGGGTTACAGGCAAGAGCCACCATTCTCAAATCATAGTGTTGACTCTAAACAGGGCATAGACTGATGAAGTCTTGGAGATAACAAGGGAGAAAAGACCCCGATTCTTGTGCAGAGAGAAAAAGGGGCATGGCAAGATCTGGACACAAGTGATTTCTCCTGTTCTAGGAGGAGTGTGCACATCCAAGGGGAAAGTGGACAAAGCAGGGGACAAGAAACTTCCTTTCAGTTCCCAGGAGAATATCAGAAGTAAGCAAACATATAAAAAAACCAACCAACCAACCAACCAACCAACCAACCAACCAACCAACCAACCAAACTCACCAAGAGACAAGAGGGTCTCCGAGGCCACATTTCTGATTTCTTCAGTGTCAGACTGACACAGTGTCACTAGCATTTTAATGCTTTCGGTGGCCTGCCAGGGAAGACAGATTAGTGTCTGACACTTACACCCAGTCTTCCAGGAGACTAAACAGCTAATTCCTTAAGCTGTAGCCCGCTGAGTCCAAAATTACCCCCATTTTAGAACTCTTGTGCTTGCATTGAAACACCATGTTGTGTGGAATCCTTTTCTTGAGTTGGGATTGGTTTAGAAAAAGGGTTTCTGTTCCCAGAAGGGACTGTATCTTCTGGGAGAAAAGGAATAGAGCAGGGATGTGTCATGCACATCTGGGAATATGCTCAGGTTAAAACAAGTCAGGTAGAGCCCAAATAGACTGCAGCTCTATGTGTCTATCTGTGTGAAGTCTATAGCAGAGACACTCAGCCATGATGAGTCACAGCACACCAGGAGAGTGCCCAAATAAATACTTAACCAATGGGGACATTTTTTGGGGGCAGGGATGGTTGGGTCACTTGACGGTAATTTTCTAACCAAGTAACAAGGAAGACAAAATTTCCCATGGTTGTTTTTCTTCACAGATCATTAACTTTTCCTTTTATGGCATTAATCCCTTGTTTTCATGTCCCCTCAGGTCTGCTCCTTGTCCCATGTGCCCATCTAAGGTTTTAGTAAGCATTAAGGTGTGGCTCTCTCATTCCTTTTCCTGGGTCCCCTCCTAATGTTTTTGTGGTAAATGCAGGTCACACACAAATTCTAGCCCGTCAAAAGACACACTCCCATTGGAAATCTGCAGCCTTTGTTTCCTTGTGTCTGCATTTGGCCCTCTCCTAGCTCACTAATGCCTCCTCTAGCATGTTAGTGACCATTGCTCAGCAGTCCGGTGCATCCAACATACAGCCTGCTGTCCTTGAGTGCCTGAGACTAACGGTGGAGCCTGTTTTTTTTTTTTTTTTTTAAACTTAGCTGTGAACTTTGTAGATAATGGCTTCACGTCATGATATCAAAGTCTGGACATTCCTGCGAACTAATTTCAGGAGAAAGGATCTGAGAACTCAGTGGCGAACTGAGCCTTCAGTGCAGGCTTTATTTTCCGATGCTAATTTATACACCATAAACACTGGGGAAATCACCGTATCAGCTCTTTTGGGGGTTAAGATAATTTCTTACATTGACCCCCAAGTCACATGGCTCTTGTGGGCAGTGCTAAACAGCAATTATTTTCTACTTGGTGATGTTAACAAATCCTGTGTAGTCATTGTTCTTTGGGGAAAAGGTCCTTGATTATGCAGCTCCAAGGATATGAGAGACACTGCTACAAGAGGGGCTTCGAATATGGGAAGAATCTGATCTATCCACATGGCATGACTTCCCTCTAAATTTTCCAGACTCGACTGTTCTAGTGTTGACCAGGGATAGGGTCTCTGAGTCTCCATAGGAGTATGGGCCTTGGAGTTTGAGCAAGGGTGTGGGGCTCTGGTCATGGACAAGGGTGTGAGACTCTGGGCATGGACAGGCTGAGGGGCTTTGATTGTGGACTGCATGGGACTGTGGGGCTCGGGGACTGGGTTTTACCTCCAGGCTCTTTAGGGCCAGGCATGCTGCCTTCTGTAGCTGGAGATTGGTCTTTGTTAGTGCTTCACAATAATAGAGCAACGCCTGAAAGGGAAGGAGAGATGCTGTTAGACATTTTCAACTGTTTGTCATTCAAATAGTATGTAAGACAGGGAACAAAGGAAGGTAATTGGGGTGGGGGAATGTGGGGAGGCATGTGAGGGGACCAGTAGGAAGCATTGGAACTCATGGAAAATGGCTGGGCAGTTGGCAAAGCTACAGAGGCAAATCCCAGAGGACTGTGTGTCCTGAGGATTGCATGCTGTTATTGAGCATAGCTCTGATTGTTGCCTTCATGGTCTCCAAATCCTTCATACTCTATGGGCTGTAGGAAAACTCTCAAAGGCTTTATATATCCTTACTGGGCAGTGTTATTGGTACTTACAATAATAGCTATTGACTTGTTCCAAGCATTGCTGCTGGAGCAGATTAATGAGTCAACTACCATGCTTAGAAAGAATTTAGATTGTTAGTAAAGTTAGGTTAAAGTGTTTTTGCTAATGGCTTTGAGGCAGAAAATTGTGGGGAACAATTTAAAGTTTAGAAAGGCACATAGTTGAGTGAGGGACTCATTGAGGTCAAGAAACAAGAAACAATGGCAGCCTGACTATTGCTGGCTGATGTACCTTTTTTGCTAGGATGGGTTGGTGATTAAAGGTGATAATTAATTCCTTGTACCCATTTCTGCTCTCAGCTTCCTGATATAAAAAACTGTTGATGAGTGGGTATGATCCCTAAAGATTTAAAGTAGAGCTGACTGGTTGCTTTATATATATAAAAGTTTATATTTTTAATAAACTTAATTTGTGGATACTTTAAATTTTTTTGTGAAATTAACTTTTGTGAAATTAATTAAAAATGATTGATCCTTTCTTTGCAATGGCAAAATATAGCCCGCCAGCAAAAGAACTGGCTGAGAAAAATACCTTGTTTGCTTACACTCTGTTAATCTATAACAAGTTGCTTGGGTATGAATGTATATGGGTTCTTGGGACAACTTGTTTTTTCACCCGTAATATGTAATTATGTAAGGGATATGGAAAACATGTTGTTTTTACTTGTATTCATTGGGATATATAAGCTGTAAGGGCAAAAATAAAGACACAGGAGAAAGAAAATACCAGGAAAGATATAGAAAGAAGACATCAGGAAGTAGCTGGAAGGAAGACATCAGGAGAGACAGAAGGAAAACATCAGGGTGGAAGAACAGAACAGAAAAGCAATAGAGTAGAACAAGAAACAGAAAGACCAATAAAATAAAGAACTAAGCTTTGGGCCTCAGAGAAGTCTTCATGTGTCTGTTTGTCTGTCCAGTGGTTCACCTGCTCTGAATTTCCTCTTCACTTTCTCTGACCTGCTGAAGGCTTGCCATTCATTAGCAACCTAAGTGAGATCCCGACATGTTGGAGATGTGTGTGTGTGTGTGTGTGTGTGTGTCTTTTTTTTTTTTTTTTTTTTTTTTTTTACTGTTTTACTCCCTCAGATAGAAAAGTCAATTGAGTGATTAGTTCTCTGACTCTGTGGACCCCCTGCAATTCCTGAGCTGCTAAAGGTTGGTCCTCACGGCAGCAATAGGAGAACATACAATATCTTCTTTCATATGTGATATACAGATTTTAATTTCTAAAAAAAAATCCCCTTTTGTTTTATTTGTATGGGTGCTTTGCCTGTGTGTATATCTGAGCACCATGTGCATTCAGAGACTGCAAAATTGCTGCAAATTTGAGGCCAATCTGGTCTGCATGATGAGTTTCAAGCCAGCATGGCCTACATCAAAAGTTCCAAGCTAGGCACGGTTCTATAGTAAGACTCTGTTTCAAATATTTAAAAGTCCAGGGCTGGAGAGATGACTCAGAGGTTACGAACATGGGTTACTCTTCCAAGGCACCCAGGTTTGGTTCCAAGCACCCACACAACAGTTCACAATTGACTGTAATTTCAGTCCCAAGGGATCCGGTGCCCCCCACCAAAGGACCAGGGAATATCATGAAAAGGGAAACAGATAGGAATGGACGAGTTGGAAGACAGGGAGAAGGCTACAAGATGCTATCTTCAGGGCATGACACAGCTACTGTGTACATGATCTTGCAGCAGCTGGGTGACTGTACTAGGCAGGAACAAGACAGGGCCTGCTGTATGGACTGGCGAGGAGCATGTAGGGACCCTATCTCTTGCCTAATGGTTACTGATGAATTCTGGGGGAGAGTTATTACCTTTAACAGTTTTCTGAATGGTGGATCTACTAGGTTGCAATGGGCATACATATGGCCCTGGTTAAACACAATGGATCAAAGAAAGAAACAATGTGGGAAAGTGACCTGTGGGAGGAGGTAGATATGACAGAGGTGGGAGGAGCTAAGACAAGGTGGGGGTGAGAGTACATAGAATGTATTATATGTGCACTAAGTTATCAAAGAACAAATTTAGCAATAAAAATGAAAAAACAATGTTACCCATTTTTTTTTGTATTCTAAAACTAATAAAAAGTACAAAGATACTAGTTAAAAATATATGTATAAAAATATAAAAAATTACTACCTGAGATAAACTATAGCATGGCCTTTCACAGTGTTCAGGGTAAGGGAAAAAATATCACAAATTCTCACAAGTTTATTCAGAGTTAATTGGTGTATTTTACCCGATTGTAGATTCAGGGTTGGAAGATATGAAATAATAATTATAGATTTTAGTTTAGGGATCAGTTTTTTTTCCCTTTGTTGGTTTTTATTTTAAAACCATACTACTTTTGCTTTTAATTTTAAAAATTAGGTGCATCTCTAGAGTGGAGGTCAAAAACCGAAGGCAAGGTGTGATGCTCAGATCCACCTCCAGGGTTCCCACCTCCTCACACACCCACCACTTCTACGGATTGGGAAGCTCTGAACTCTTCCTTCACAGTCATTTTGAGATATATCAGAAATTGTTGTGATGCTAGCAGCCTTAGTAACAATTTGGTAGCTCCATTCCAGGCCCACCCTGAATTCTCAGCAATCCTCCAGAGTGCCAGGATTAGAGCCCAGTTGTATGTTAACGGTAAATGACAGTTAAGCCTGTCAGTTAAGCTTGATATTCATGACTTAGCATCCTACCTTTTCTCTGAAGTGCTCGTTTTTGGAGGCTGCTGCCAAGTAGAGTGTCACAGCCTCACTGACCTCATTATCATCTCTGGTGAGCAGCAGAGCTAGGGTCCTGAGGACTTCCTGTTGGGCAGGGAGGTTGCTGGGGGTGAAGTTGCTCATAGTCTGTAGAAGTTTCTCATCTCTCAGTGACTGCAGAGTCTGCACCATGGCAACTGGAAGGTGAGGAACCAGAGCTCATGTTCTGATAGTACAGTGGCATGTTTGTGGAGAATGCAAGCATTTCATTTATGTTTTCAGTAAAAACATATGCATAACAGACCCAAGTGTACATAAAAACATAGTCTATGATAGTGAGAAAAGGTCAATAATTTAAATAATTATGATGAGATGAGGGCAAATTGTAGAAAAAAAATATAAAGTTGAATTTCTACCTTAAAATGGTGGCAAAAATATATAGCTTTCTTTTTATGAGAACTCATATAGCCAAGACCTGCCTTGAACTTTCCATGCAGTAAAGGATAACCTGATACTCCTGCCTCTTACTCCCAAATGCTGTGGTTATAGGCCTTCATCACCCAGTACCACACAGATGATATTAAACAGTCAAATGTAAAAATATACAATGGAGAAAATAAAAAGAAACATTATCTTCCACCTTCTTAATATTCATAGTAAACACTGTCTTTCAGTTAAAACCATATGCCAAAAACCTAATCCTAGGTGAATGGTCAGGACTGGAAGGGGAATGCCACTTAGTTGATAGGAATCTAGAGATAATATGAACTATTTTTGAGTTCCACTGGGACAAACTGACCATGTTCTGTGAATATGGAGTGGAGTCTAACCCCTAACTAGATATCCAGCAAGGATATCTCTTGGTCTCTAAAACATAACAATGAGACTGTGTCTATTCAGTAACATGGGAAACAGACAGGAAAGAAAAAAGCCAAAAGTCCAAATATAAGGGCAATAGAAAACCAATAAAATGCTTTAAAATATTGATATTTAACAGCACGAAGTTAAAAACAAGATATGATACTTTATAAGGAATAATCACATTGGGGACATTAGCTCAGAGTGCAGTGCTTGTCTGGTATGGGGGGTCCTGGGTTTAATCCCCTACTACTGCAAAAACAAACAAGCACACAAAAAAACAAAAAACTCCAGTCTAAGAAAGATACAATTTTGAAATCTAAAACCATGCATGTTCAAATGAAAAATTAAAGTGTAAAAGTAGGGGAAAGAGAGTTGAATATGTATTTTCTATTTTCCAAACTTTCTGTAATGTAAAAACTATTCACTTTATAATAAAAGGAAAAAAAGACATTTAAAACTAAGGGAAGGAATAAGGGAAGGTTTGGGATTGTAGCCCAGTTGGTAGAGCCTTGCACATACAAAGTGAATGGGTTCAGTCTCCAATATCACATAAACTGGGCATGATGGCATACACCTGTAATCTTAGAACCTGGGAGATAGAGGCAGGAGGGTCAGAAGTTCAAGATCATCCCTGGCTACATAGTAAGATTGAGGCCAGTCTGGGCTAGAGACCTTATCTAAAACAAAAATAAACAAAAACAAGGGCTGGAAAGATGACTCAGCCTTAGGAACACAAATTGCTTTTGCATAGAATCAGAGAATTTCATTCTCAGCATCCAGGTGGAAAGGCTCACACCCTTTAAAACACCAGCTTTGGGGGTACAAAGCCCTATTCTGGTCTCTGTGGGCACTGCACACACATGCACAAACTCACAGACGACACATACATGCATAATTTAAGAAAAAAAAGTTTAAACAAAACAAAGATAAAATCAACCAATCAACCAAACAAACCCAAGCAAAAAACAATGGAAAACAGAGATGGCTTAAAAATTAAGAGCACTGGCTGTTCTTCCAGAGGTTCTGAGTTCAATTCCCAACAACCACATGATTGCTCACAACCATTTGTAATGAGATCTAGTGCCCTCTTCTGATGTGCAGGCACACATGCAGGCAAAACACTGTATACGTAACAAATAAATTAATTAATTAAAAAAAAATAACTAAAAAACCTAAACCAAACAAAAAAGGAAAACCAAAAAAAAAAAAAAAAAAAAAAAAAAACAACCACAAAATTTCCCAAAGGTTAAAAAGTCCCCCAACCCACTGTCATCCCTCAATCCTACTGCTGAATGGGTGAGTTGTGTCAAGGTCTATCACTAAGAGTTGGAACTATGAACTGCCACACTAAGCCCTGAGTAATTCATATATATGACTAGAAAACTGATCTACCCTTGGCAAGCCTAGTATCACATGTATACCATGAGGCATTTCATCTGTAAGACAGAGTCTCCCTGACCTGGTCTTTTGTGCCAGGCATATCACCTGCAAGGCTTTCTCTAGAGCACATGTGTCCCATGCTGGGCAGAAATGTCTCCTTCACAATGCCAAACAACATTGATGCAGGATTTAATGTTCTGGAAAGAGCAGAACTAACCTGGATCTGAGCCAGACAAGTTGCTGCTCTGTGGTGCTGTACCAGACGCTGCCTGGTCCCAGAGAACACACTATTCCTCCTGTCCCTTTAGCCTGGATTGAGCATAGATCTGAGAGCCAGAAACTAGCCCCTGCCCAATATCTTCTGGTTTCCTGAAGAGAGTGGTCCTCCAATTCAAATACGATATATACAATATTTGAAGTGCCGTGTGAAAGGGTTGGACTAAGCTTGCCACACCCCTAGTCAACCCTTTCACCTTCCTTAAAGGGGCAGCCTATCGTACTTTCTATCTTTTCTCAATTCCCTTCCCACTGTCTTACTCCAGTTTTCACGTGGAATCCATTTCTGTCTGTTCCGAATAAGAATCCTACCACAAAGGCAATCTGAAATAGCACTGCAAATAGGCTGAGCAAGGAAGGAAGGAACAGCAATGAGATCTCAAGTCACCTGCCAATTTCCTGTTTAGCTAACCCCTGCTGGGGACCAGTGTGCTTAGTGAGATCCTGTTCCAATACCAGGAAGTTTACTAAAGTTAAAGGTCCAGAAGTCACTGAAAAGGCAAGCTCTACTACCATGGAGGTCATCCTGAGTAACAAGACCAGAGATGATGCCAGACCGAGACACTACTACATCATGACAGGAGACCACATCCTACCTTGCCTGGCCAGCTGGCTCAGGTAAGTCTCCAGGTCACTCACACCATGGCTGGTAAAGAAGCTGTAATACTGGAACACAGTGATGACTTCCGAGGAGAGGCTGGAGGGAAGAAGAGGCTCAGAGCGGTCCAGGATTTGGGACACCAGGGTTCTAAACACTGGGAAATAAAAGACAAAGTGACTTAAGGAACATGGCCATTTACTCATCCTTCCATCCATCCATTCACTCAGCCCTTCATCTATCGTTTATCATGGTATTTCATGATGAATGTGATAAACACTACACTATGGAAAATGTGACTATCATAGTACTTGTATGCTCATTTGTTCATCATGGTACTAATATTCCTTAACTTTTTTTTATCATGGTACTTACATTCATCTTTAACATGGAGCTTGTTATTTATGCACTTACTTAAGCTATTTACTATTATTTATTTTTATGTGTATGGGTGCCTTGCTGGCATATATATCTGTGTACTATGTGTGTGCTCAGTGCCCAAGGAGGCCAGGAGAGGAAATTAGATACTCTGGGATTGGAGTTACAGACAGTTGTGAGCTGTCATGTATATACTGGGAATTGAACCGAGGTCCTATGGAAGAAAAACAAGTGATTTTAACTGCTGAGCTGGCGCTCTAGCCTCATTTACCTTTTATTATGGTGCTCACATTCATTCATTCATTTATTTCCTTACCTTTTATCACATTTTTATTATGATATTTATATTCACTAATTTATTCACTCACCTTTTATCATAGTAGTATGGGAAAGTGCTTAAAGTGAGCTAACCTTCAGTGTACAGCCAGATAGGTGGCTTCCCCATTTTCCAGACTCACATGATACCCTGCAAGTCAGGATGTAGAAGATGACCAGCATCCCTTCAGCTATTCTTGGGGCCCTTCCTGTTGGGAGCTACTCAGCCTTTCCAAGAGGAAACAAATAACTTGAATTCCATTTTTGTTTTTGTTTCTGAGGCATCACGTAGCCCAGGCTGATGTCCAGTTTGCCATGTACCCAAGGCTAGCCTTATCTCCCGATCTTCCTGCCTCATCTCCCAAGTGTTACAATTATAGATGTTCGTCATCATGCCTGGCTTTGTAACTTGAGTTTTATCAACATAAGTGAGCTTTCCCTGCTCTTGAACTTTCATGCCAACAAAATACACAGTTTGTACTTTTCATGCCTGGTTTATTTTACTCAACATAGACTCTATGAGACTCACCCATACTATAGCCTGTAATAGCAATCGAGTCTCTGATATCATTGATCTGTGTTATCATTGTGTTAGAGTATCTCCATTTTCACATAGCATTTGAGTGGTCACCGAATTCTGGCTGTTGTGACTAAAGCTGTGACTCTTCTTACACAGACAGGAGTGCTTAGAGAAAACCATTCCTCTTCATGTATTTAAGAGTAGAAATACTGGCTCATACTGTAGTCACAGACTAGGATTCCATAGAAACATCCTAGTCTTCAAAAGTCACTGTACCATCTGACACTTTTACATTGGAGGCACTTCATGGAAAAAAGCTTACTGTTGGCCCTCTTTGCCTATGGCTCCTACATCTATGAATCTAAGCAACTGGAGACCAAGAACACCCAGGGAAAAGCACATCTATATTGAACATGGAGGGACTTCTAAACCCAGTCACTCCCCAAACGATGTAATCTATCAACCATTTACTTGGTGTTTACCTAACCAAGTATTATAAGCCATCTGGGGTACAGAGGAGGAAGCATGGAGGTTATATACCCAGACTGGTATAAGCAAGGGATGTAAGCAAACACAAGCTCAGTCATGCATGGCAGGTTCCAGAACCATTCATTCACCCACAGACACCAAATGACAAGTGTACAAACATGAGTAACAATATAGACATAGAAGACATGGACATTGTGGATCGAGTATGAAATGTCTCCCACAGGCTCAAGTGTTACTTGCTCCTCAGCTGGTGGTGCTGTTTGGGGAGGCTATGGAAACATTGGAATCAGGTGGTGCTGTTTGGGAGACTATGGAAGCACTGGAATCAGCTGGTTAACTGGCTGACATGGCCTGGGGTGAGCCTTTGGGGTGGGGAGCTCTCACCACCTTGGACCAACCTGCTTCTGCGGCAATTTCTTCCCTGCCAGGATGGACTGTATCTCCTGAAATGTGATCAAAATATGCCTCTCCTTCTTAAGCAGTTTCTGCCTAGTGTTTTGTCACAGCAGAAAAAAAAAAAAATGCCACCGTTGGCATCCTGCATGTTTGGCACCTTTTTTTTTTCTTTTCTAATAGTCTAGATGTCTAGCTCATCTTTTCCTAGGAGAGCATGCATTTCTTTTTCAAGACTGGTCTTTTTATGTGCCCCTCACCACTCAGGTTATGGAGGAGGAGTCTGTTTGTACCTGGTTCTGCCAGTCCTGGGTATTCCTTATTGATTGTTCTGGCGAAGCTGGCCTCCAGCTGTTTGATCACTCTGTCAGCTGAGCTGTGGTAGACCCCAATTGGGCTGCAGCATTTGGTCCAGAAAGACAGTAAAGATAGCTTTTTGTGGAATTCTGGTATGGCTGGAAAAGAATAGGATGTTGATGAAAAGATGAAGGTGGCTACGTGGGTGGGGTGGGCAAGGTGTCCCCAAGAATAATTTAGCTTTTCTTTTGTGTTTTGTTTTGTTTTCTCTGTGAAACAATCCTGGCTATCCTGGAACTCATTCTGCAGACCAGGTTGGCCTTGAGCTGACAGAGATCGGCCTGCCTCTGCCTCACGAGTGATGGCATTAAAGGCATGCACTACCACCGCCTGGCTTTCTCTTTTGTGTTTGTCACAGATTGTACTTTTATTTTTAAATACTTTAATTAATGTAATTAATTAATTGTCTCAGACTAGGTCTCATGTAACCCATTTTGGCCCTCAAACAAAGGATAACCTTGAACTCCCAATCTTCTTGTCTACCAGCAGGCAGTTTTCCTTTCCTTCTTTCCTTCTGTAAACATTTGAGTGTGTGTGTGTGTGTATTTGTGTGTCTGTTTGTGTGTGTATGTTACTGGGGATTGATCCTAGGAGCCCATAAATGCTCTACTACTGAGTTGTATCTCCAGCCATCATTTTCCTATTGATTTTGAAATATGGTTTTGCCCAGGCTAACTTTAACCTCCCTCTATAGCACAAGTTGGCCTTGAATTGGCCATCCTCCTGCCTCAGTCTCCCAAGTAGATAAGAACAGATATATCACCACAGTCATTAAGACTGTAGTTTTCAGTTGGAACTACTACAAGACTCTTGGGGATTGGTAGGTGGTCCTCCCTGGCTAGCAAAGAGAACACAGTGAATGCTTAGTTGTTTGCTCTTAAGGACAGAAGGCTGCTCTTCCCTTGGGAGACCACACTTAATGCCTGTGATCAGCATGACCAGGATCATCAGGATCAGTGATTTCAGGGGAAGCCCTCAGAGGGCCTGGAACAAAGCAGGGTTTGCTGGAGGAGCCTCCCCCCCCCCGCCCCCCCAGGTTTTAGGCCAGACTGAGCAAACAGCACAGCAGCAGGGGTATGTGCTCACAGTCATACTTGTGGATGACCATGATCAGGAAGAGCCTGGGACACAGGCCATTTGCAGCCTGAGTGTCCGCCAGTCTCACACCTTTTGGACATCTGCCAAGTTCATGTACTTATAGCAGAAAGAGACAGAGCTTTAGGCTCTGTGGCAGATTACCCAGAAGTCTGTATTTCCATTATACGTGATGCGAAAAAGACGAGCCCGAGCCCTTGCCTTTATCAAGGAGCCCAGTGGTCAGATCACAAAAAGGCAAGGACATCTTCCCCATGCCAAGTTCTGCTTTTGGAACTGAGGAATAGTACAATTGGTAAAATGCTTGCCTTGAAAGCACAAGGACCTGCGTTTGAGCCCCAGAACAATTAGAAAACTTGTGACATAGTACTTGTAACTTTAGTGCTGGGGAGGTGGGTCAGAAGGATCCTTGCAGCTTGCTTGCTGGCCAGCTAGCCTAGTCTACTTGGTGAGTTCCAGGCCAGTGAGAGATCCTGTTTCAAAAACCTAAAGAATGATACCCGGGGGGCTCAGAGGTTAAGAACACTGGCAGCTCTTCCAGAGATTCAGAGTTCAATTTCCAGCAATCACATGGTGGCTCACATCCATTTATAATGAGATCTGATGCTCTCTTCTGGCTTGCAAGAATACATGCATGCAGAACCCTAAATAAACAGTCAGCGAGAAAGAGAGAGACTCTGATATCTGAAGTTGATCTCTGGTCTTCATACACATCGCACCCTCCCCTAAAGTGCAGCTTCACACACTCTTAGAGCCAGACTGCTCTCTAGATCACGGAGTCCATGCAGCCTCTCTTCCACAGCAGTGTGTGGAAACACCTCCTGTGCAACAGCGTCCACGAGTTAGAACAATTCGGATTACCTGTTCTAAAGGCAATCTTGGCAATAGAAAATGTCTGAGAAGCTCTGTCTGGAGGTGGGTGCCTTTTCTGTGTGTGAGTTTTTTTTTTTTTTTTTTTTTTTTTTTTTTTTGTTTGTTTGTTTTTGTCTGCTGAGTCCAGGGAGCAGGGTGTGCTTTGGTTCCAGAGACAGCCTGCAGGTGGCGCGCTTACCTTCCACCACAGAGGTGATGTTCCCGAGGTTTTCGTCGCTCACAGCTGCCAGCTTCTCCATCACCAGCACCTGCCTTGATAGCTTCTCCAGGAGACTTCTTGCCACAAAGGGGATTTTGCTGGAGAAGATGATTTGCTGACAAGACAAATAAAAGCCTTTTCGATGATGTTGAGGGCAGTGACCTAGCTCTCCGCGCCCTTCCTGAAGCAGTTGCGCAGGCTCACCTCTGCAACACTTTTGTCCCAGCCTGACAGTGTTCCTCATTCTCTGCCAGTTCATGACATCATATCTGTTTTTGTTACTTTTAACCCCTTTCACATATGTATATGTTCAGGAATTTTCTCACTGGCAGAACTTCAAGTTATTGTGAGTTTTCCACTCTCTTCCCTTTCATTTTTTTTAGACAGGGCCTACCATGTGTTTCAGACTAGCCTGGAACTTTTAGCTCGAGCTGTCCCATGCCTTAGCTTCCCAAGTGCTGGGACTTTTGGTATAAACTCTGCACCCAGCTCTGCCCTTGCTTCTGTGTAAATCTCAGTTTCTTTGAAGATAGCAGGGGGTTAGGGTGATGGATAAGCAGAAAAAGATTTGCTTTACAAATGGCATGGCTTTATTCCCCTGTTTCCAAATGGAAAATTCAGAGCATATTATACAGTCATTCTTGTAGTCAGAACTATCCTCGTGCAACCCAAGAGTACTGTCTATGTACCTGGCACTACTCTGAGCTCTACATGTATTAGCTCACATAACTTCTCACAATGACCTAATGAGGAGACTCCTATTGACATCTCCATTTTGGTGACAGAAAACTGTGTGACTGAGGCAAACCGAGGTTAAGTGACTGGCCTACGGCCACATAACCAGGCATTGGTTTCACTTGGGTGCAGGGTACAAGGAGAAGAAGGGCGGAGACAGGAATGACCTAAGTGACTTGTTTGATGACTCTGCTCCTTCTCTGTCCCTTGGGGACCTGCTCAGGTTACCTGGTAGGCAGAGATGGCAGGCATGGCTCATGGGTGAGGATGACACTGCCATGCCATGCTGTCTAGAGCATTTGAACCCTAAAGTAAATGGCATTCTCTAACCCTAGAGTCGAGCAGTTAGTCATGTGTGTTTGGGCACACCTGTGATCCCAATATGTGGGAAGCATGACACTCATGTCAAGGACAGCCTCAGCTACACGGTAAGTTTAAAGGTTGCCTGGGCTATGAAACAAAATGAAATGAAAGTCTAGTGATTACACACTAATGTCTTCCTTTTGAGCAAGTACAGGACACACACCTCATTCTGAAGTAGAGCTGCAATGGACTCACAGAACGCCCATTCTTAACCCTCCCCAATCATACACCGAGGGATAAGGAAACACCCTGATTATGGAGTGATAGCAAATTCTCACTCCTTCAGACCACGTCCTTTTTTTTGTCTTTTGAGATTATAATTACATTATTTTCCCTTTCCTTTCCTCTTTCCAAACATTCCAACACACCCCTCCTTTCTCTCAGATTCATGGCCTCTCTTTTCATCAGTTACACACACACACACACACACACACACGCATATGTAAATATATATTTCTAAGTACAACCTGTATTGCCTGTATAATATTGCTTGTATGTATGCATATTTTCAGTCATTGATTTTCTAGTGCAGATCTGCTCCACAAGAGAGTTGGATTGTCCCTCATGGCCCTGCCAGAGAGGACCAGTGCACTGACTGCTGCGTGCCCATCAACCTTTGGGAAAACACTTTACCCCCTCCATGGAAGAGACTTTTCCTAGGGTTCATAAGAGCAACTTCACCTCTCAAAGGCTGGTTGGTGGTTTGCCTAGCACATTATCAGAGTTGGAGAAGATAATTATAGAACGGAAAGAATCTTATTCAGGTAAATAACGGCAGCTGGTAAACAGTGACTAGTTAGAAGGAAACGGAAATCTTTTGTTTCCTTTTCTGAGACAGGTTCTGACTCTGTAGTCCAGGCTGGCCTTAAACTTGCAGCAATCCTCCTGTCTCAGCATCCCAAGCGTTGGGATGGCAGGCATGAGCACTACATCTGTTTTTTTTTTTTTTTTTTTTTTTTTTTTTTTTTACTAAGCAGGGAAAACACAGCCTCTGGGAGGCTGGTTGTCGTTGTTACAGCTAGAGCTTCAACACTCAACAGATCTCCAAACAGGGCTCAGGTCTTCCAGACGCCAGGGTTTTGCCAGCCAGCCCGTTTCCCATGGTACACACACATCACCTCCAGGGTTCAGTCTCTCCATCAGGTGGTCCCTTTCTTTTCATTGAGGCAGTGTCTTGCTGTGTAGCCCAGGTTTGTTTTGAACTCTGGATCTTCCTGCATCCATCCTCTGAGTGCCGGGATTACAGGCCTGTACTACTATGCTCACATAGTGTCTTTCTTTGTGGTGGAAAATCATATCCTTCTATATTTCCCATAAATGTGTGGCCAGTGCTGCCCAGCTCCCAGCCTTCCCCCACTCCTCCCTCTCCCTGCCATTTGGTTTTGGCTGGCTTAGGGAGCCAGCCCTCTTCCTTCTGCGGCCTGTCTGACTGGCTGGTTTCTGTGAAGCTGTGATGACAATTGCTTCTGTGTTCTCATCCTGTTACACACACACACACACACACACACACACACACACACACACACAAGCAATCTGGGAGAAGATCAAGGCAGTGAGAAAACAAGCAGCCGGGCAAGGAGAAAACATTTCAATCCAGGCCTTTGGGAAAGTGTCCTGTCCAGGGCAGCTGGAAGCCTTCAAGGCTTTGGGACTGTAATACCTCAGGTGGTAAACATTTCAATTCCCATTGAAATGGGAAATGAGAAGAAGGTTCTATGGTGTTCCAGTGTGAGGAGATGACCTGGAGGGGCTTTCCTTCCCATTGCTCATAAGAATTACTGGTCGGAGCCAGCCTGTAATCCTAGCTCTTGGGAGGTGGCTGTAGGATGATTAGGAGTTCAAGATTAGCCTCAGCTACATAGTCGGTTTGAGGACAGCCTGACATTTATAAGACCCTATTTTAAAGAAAAAGAAACTTTCTCATTTGCTATTGGGGAAACATGGCCTGCTTCTGTCGTACATTGTTTTTAGCATGCTACATGTGGTAGAGTGTGAACTTGACATCACATTCATATCTATTTAGTTAACACTGTTTTCCAACTCTGCCTGTAGATGGCACCATTGTCTCTCTTTGCCGAATCCTTCATTACTACCTGGCGGTGAGCTGGATGAGAGCTTTGACCATATTCTGCCTGGCACTTACAGTAGTCTTCAGATCTAGGTTTAACTTAAAACTGAAAACCCAGGCTTAAGAAAGGGTGAATGAGGGTGGTGGTGCACACCTTTAAATCCAGCACTCAGGAGACAGAGGCAGGTGAATCTCTCTGAGTTCAAGGCCGGCCTAGTTTACAGAACTAGTTGCAGGATAGACAATGAAACCCTGTCTTGAAAAAAAAAAAAAAAGGTAGACATGTTTGCCAAGTTTTTGCTTCCTTCAAATCAAAACAGGAACAAACACTCCCTTACCTCTGGACTCTCATTTCCTTGGCAAAACTAAAACACATAACACGCACACCTTCCTGGCATGTCGGCACCTCCATCTCCCACACGCCACACACCCTACCTGAACCAGCTGGGTGCAGTACTGTAGATGTTTGACAATGGTGATGTCCAGGCTCTCATTTCCTGTGGTCAGTGGGAGTGGGCTTCCTGCCACACTGGTTCCTACGCCTGTGTCTTCAGTCAGAGCTTCACTCAGGTGGCCCCTGGCTTCCGGGTGAACTGACCTGTAACTGTGAAGCAGGAAAGTGGGTGAAACATGAGCTTTTTCTTTCTGTGCTCAAACCGCAGGCCGAGTTTACGTGGTCCCCACTGAAAGCAGCCCTTCCCCGGCTTGCTCTCAAAGGCAGATACCTTTTGAGAACAATTTATTTCAGCCACGTTGCCAATCTGCCAGGTATCAAAAGACCATGCAAACACGGGCTGCTGCTTGCTTTGCCAGCACAATGAGGGCTTTGAGAAGCAGTTTCCCTGAGAAGTCTTTGAGCCCTGCCCTCACTCAGCGCTTGCTTCCCTCACCCACTCTGTGGCCGGGGGATCTGCCAGCTTCTCTGGGGTTCAATAGTCCTGTGTCTGTGGTTTCCTACGAATGATTCCATTAAAGAGTGATCTTCGCAGGCCTTGCCCTGGCCTGATGCCAATTGCTACTTGAAGTCAAGAAGAAAGAAAAGCTGCCATTGGCAGACACAGTACTGCGAACAGTCAGCTACTGGCTACGCAGTTCTCAGCTCAGCTTGTTTCTAATGCTCTCTAAACCAGGCCATCACACTGTCTAAGGTTAGATAACCAAGGACACACCAGAAAGTTTGATTGCGTGTTATCTAAGTTTCTTCCTTCCCTTCCCTTTTAGAGACATGGTCTCACACAGCCCTGACTTGCCATGTAGCTGAGGCTGGTCTTTGCATTCCTGATTTCCTGTCTCCACCTCCTAAATGCTGGGATTACAGGTAGATTTCATTATGGCAGTTTATTCCTTTTTCCAATGGACATACGTTTTGTTTTATCTTGTGGGTTTTATTTTTATTTGTTTATTTATTGACACAAGGTTGAATTGTGTAGCCCTGGATGTGCTGGATCTCATTCTGGATCTCAGGCTGGTCTTGAACACACACAGACCAATCTGCCTCTGACTCCCAAGTGCTGGGATTAAAGGTGTGTGCCACCACGGCTGACCACAGTTTATGGTCTTTAAGTTTACAAATAAGTCTTATATTTATCTGGGTTATTCGAATATTTTATGATCTGAGTATATAGAATTTTCTTTTTAAAAATGAATTTTTTAAAAAACATAACTTTCAATATAAGAATCCTTATTAATCAAAACCGTTATACACCAAAATTAACCACACCCAAAGTCTATGCATCTCAGTGAACCTCTCAATGCATTCCCAAGCTGCTGCGGAGTTTTACACTTTATACTATTGAGTATATTTCTACTATTGAATATATTTTCATGCACTTATCCCTCACCCAAATTGAAAATTCCATAAGAGAGTTAGAACAAGAAACACCTGCTACTTTATTTGCTACAGCAAAGAATTGGAACCAAACTAGTTGCTCATCAATAGATGAATGGGTAATAAAATTTGATATATATATGATACATGTATAAATTTGATATATACTATTCAGCTCTAAAGAAAAATCACAAAATTTGCAGTAAAATGAATGAGCTTAGGATGTATCATACTAAGCAAGGCCACACAACCTCAGAAAGAAACAAACCACATGTTCTTCCTCATATATAGGACCTAGCCAATACTATATACATATATGTAAATGTAAACAAATACACATGTGAGTATCATATAACAAGCAGAAAAGAAAAGAAAAAAGGCTAAATTTTAGGGGACCAGGAAGGACTGAATGCAGGTGGTGGACAGGAGTTATAATGGAGGACATAAAGCTAATTGTTTTTCTACTCCTGAAAGTTACTTCCTTGGATGCTGTTGAAATAATCCGTTATGGCTGAGGGATGAAACTACCACCCTTCATTTGTCTTTTCAATGTGTACTTCAAAAATATTATGATGGTAATGTTGTAGACATTGTAATTTATAGTATGTTCTAACATTCAAAAGGATGGAACATTCCCCATTTGGAAAAGGAACTTACTTTTGTACTTTATTATAATTTAGTATGCCTCATCTATCAACTGATTCTGCTGAAACAAAAAGACTGATTATTGTCATTTTGTGTTTATGAGAGAGGGGCACCTGTGTTGTGGTGTGCACTTGGAGGTCAAAGGGCAACTGTGTCCAGTTGGATCTGTCCATTCACATTTGGGTGCTGGGGATCCAACTCTGGCTGCCAGACTTGTGCAGCAGGAACTTTACCCACTGAGAGATCTTGCTGGTGTCTGCTGAAGTTTTGATGGGCATCATGTGAGTCCCAGAATCTTTTTTCTGTTTGTTTTGTTTTGTCTTTTCGAGACAGGGTTTCTCTGTATTGTTTTGGAGCCTATCCTGGAACTCACTCTGTAGACCAGACTGGCTTCGAACTCACAGAGATCTACCTGCTTCTGCCTTCTGACTGCTGGGATTAAAGGTATGTGCCACCAATGTCTGGCAAAAGTCCCAGAATCTTTATAACAGTTAACCATCCTTTTAATAATTGTGTCAAAATTTAGCATTTAAATTATTTGTATATTTTGGTTTACTTTTATGACCTGAAACACTTTTTCTGAATTTTATTTGTTTGGCATATAAAGAAATGGGTTCACCTTGTCATCTCCTTATCTGTGGATCCTTATACATTGTTTTCATTCATTTCATTTCCCTGCTCCCTCTCCTGTATCCCCAATTTTATTTTTTTAATGCTCAGGTGGGAGGGGATAATTGTGGATGCTAATAAGGGGTCCCAGTGCACACAGGTGCACAGTGACAGAGCTTTCTGTCTTTCATCTCACACTGTGCAATGTCCACAAAGGTAACATTGCACAGAAAACTTAGTAGCTTTGAATGCTTGTCTCTGTTCACATTTTTTACGTAAGAACCATGCTCAGCTTGTATCTGAAACATATTTAAAACATGTACACAAGTCACAGACGTGTTTGTGCACACACATACACATACACTCTCCATGCACATTCAGTCACACACTACACAGGTACATACAGCCCATATATACACATTCATATACACTTTCATACATACATGTACATGCATGTACATGCATACACTTTAATGGGTGTGTATACTTTCCTACATATATACCTCTTCCTATTACTCCTGATAACATACAGCAAGGCCAGTTTGATTAGACAGGTTTAAAATCAGTGTTCTGTAGAATGCACGAAAGAAGTGATATATTTGTTAAAATGCTGCGGTTTAGAGCTTTACCTTATCTTTGTCTACAACAGTAAAAGCTAACAGGTATATAGAAAAGTTTAACTGAAGAAATGCTTTGGAAATTCAGTCAAGTCAAAGAAATTTTAATGTAGCATGAAGAACTATAAATTAAATATTATATTTTCTACATTTCATTTCCTTTTATTCCCAGTTTGCTCAAGGGATACATTCATTTTTGGTCTCGTATATATTATATATATATATATATATATATATATATATATGTTTATATGTATACATACACACATACACACACATACACACATACATATATATATGTGTATATATATATATATATACACATATATATATATATATATGGTCTTATTTAGGAAAAGGAAACACATCAGCAATAACAGAAACCCAAAATAATAGCACTTCATTGACTGCTCTATAAGGTTTGACAGCCAAATTTGTAATTTGGAAACCTACTTGCATCACCTCTGTTCAACTAAAGGTAAAGCCAGAGGAGATCTCCTCTTCCTTTATTACATATTGGTGGATTCTTTCCTAGCAGGTAAATACTGGCCACTAATTCTCTTTTGTTTCATATGAAATCACAAAGTGGACCTAGAATCTGGTTCCAAGAATATTGGCTTGGCTGTAGGAGGACATCTGAGGGAGAAGGTGACACATTTTCTGCCTGGAGGGACATAGATCTAAAGGAGTGTCAAACGTTCATCTTTACATTACGGGGAACTTAAGCTGAGCTTTGGAAGTACACCAGTGATTTCAACCTCATGCAGAGGTTGAAAGGAGAGAGAAAAGGGCACCGAGAAAACAGCTCAGCAAACTGAGACATTGCAAGTGTGAGGCACAGCAGGGCTTGGCGGATTTAGAATGTCCTGCATGTGGTCATTCTACACCTGCATGTCACCCTACATCACATGTGCCCGTGAACACAAACTCAATCAGTTGCTTCCCCTTCTAAGAAAGAAAAGGGACTTGTGTTCCCTCTGCAACCTCCAATCAGTCAGCAATATTTAGAAGGAACCTCAAGTTAAGTTATCCCGCAGGTGTGTCCAACCTTTTGACATTTTGGCACAAATATTGTCATTACAAAAGTCCATCCTCAAGAACCAAGCAATCTAGAGACTAACAAAAGTCACAAAATAATGCCATAATGTCTTAAGTAAGGTTTATGATTTTTGAGACAGGGTTTCTCTGCATAGCTTTGGAGACTGTACCGGAACTCACTTTGTAGACTAGGCTGGTTGAGAACTCATGGAGATTCGCCTGCCTCTGTCTCCTGAGTGCTGGGATTAAAGGTGTGTGCACCATCATACCTGACATTTTAAATAAGTTTATGATTTTGTGTTGGGCTGCACTCACAGCTGTCTTGGACCACATGTGGCTGCATATGGCCTGTTAAGGTTGAACATGACAACATATATTGTGTCATCCTGGAGCCTGTGTACCAGGTGGTCCCTGGCAGTAACAAAGGGTGACTGGGAGAAATGTAAGCACTGGCTGCCCCCACACTCACCCAGTTTTCTCAGTCTCAGTGTCTGAAAACACGGAGTCCGCTCCTCCACCGCCGTGGCAGGCCTCATCGCCATCTTCTTCCTCTTCATCCAAGTCAGAGGTGTTGAGGAAATCAAAGCTTTCTAATGCACTCTCAACTGTCAGACTTAGGCTGGAGGATCTGCTGCGGCTGCCTGCCGGCTTGCACTGCAAAGGCAGAAGGTACCAAGGAGACCATCAACACACCAGGGGGACCAGCAGGACTCATGGCACCCATGGAAAACGTGACACTTTCTTACAGTTTTCCAAGCCTTTATTTTTGGTTGGCATTTAAAGTCTTCATCTTGAGAAAAAGAAATACAACCACACAGAAAATGGCACAACAGTTGTGAATTGGTCCAAAAGAACCCAGGGGGAAGTACATAGGAGGAGTAGGAGAGATAGGACTGGAGGTAGGTCAGCCACTGGGGGTCACTGGGGGTCACTGGGTGTCAGTGGGTGATTGGCAGATCTACTTCTGTTTGAAGTTGTGTTACTATGATAACATCTTTAAAAACTGACAACCTAGAAGTCTTGGGAAGCAGAAGTGATGTATTCCTTTGGTGTAGTGCTCATGACCAAACAGAACAGAGCGAGCAATGCCGGCACCATAGCATTTACCTGTAGCCCCAGGCACTCAGGAGGCCGAGCTCAGAGCACCATCTGAGCTCATGCATTCAAGACCAGCCTCAATATCGTGAGACATTATTTATAAAAAGTCAACCCAGCAGGCAAATTTTAAAAGCCACTGAGTCATTGCTGACTGTTAACCAGAGCTGGCTTCTGCTGCTGAGTGACAGTGTCTGCAGAGTGCTATGCCCGGAGCTCTGTGTCTAAAGTATGCTGTAAGAATTGACAAAATGAATTCCAGAAAAGGAAACTGCTCAAATACACTTGCCCTAGGTCGACTAGGAAGGGAGCCCTGCATCGGCACATTCCATTCAAAGATGCTTTTTCTTTTTCCCTGAGAACTGAAAACAAAGAGAAGCAACTGAGTGACTTGGGTGGGCATGATGAGAAAGCAACCCTGATTCCCTTGGGCGTCTGCCTTGAAAGGAACAAGCACCATCACCCCTCTGGTCAGGCTCTGGAATTTTGGGGACAAGTTCCTTCTACAGCAGGTTGCAGGGCATGGCGGGCTGGCAATGCCAGTGACTATGGACTACAGTCATTAAGAAGCATATCCATATATTCAAGAGGACTTGAGGTGGGTTGAACAGGACAAGGCCTGCAAAGAAGACGCACTAAATGTCCTCTGTCCGTCTAGAAGGATCTCTTGCTGATTCTCAGCACAAGGGAGGAAGGGCCTTGCGGGAATCTGTTTCAGATACATGGGATGACACAGAAGCACATGGGAAATGTCTTTCGGTCTTTTAAATCACGGTTGTCTCATTCACACTCAGTGATCTCCATCCGGGAAGCAGTATCATTGAGTCTCTGATCCTCAAGATGTTTAGTGTCCTAGGAATGTGAAGGAGGAAGAAAAAGAGAGAGCTTTGTCTGGCGGAAGCCACTTGCCCCAAGCCTAAACTCCCAAAGATGCTGATGCTGTTGATCTCAAGGAGAAAGGGGAACTGCTGTGGACTTGGACTGTCTTTTGAGTCTGCTTTCCTAAGCCAGCCATCTGTGTAGCAAAATGATGGCTTCAAACATTGGGCACAGCAAAGAGACAAGTGGATGAAGGTCATTCGACAATATTGGGACAGTACTGGACAAGAGCAGGCTGAGCCAGAAAGGATTCTGAGATCACCAAGGTTTTATAAGATGGACGGCTAATAAGCCCAGTGTATCCTGATGAGCTGAGCCCCATCAGTGCCTTAGAACCCTTACCTCTCTCACTGAAGATTAAGCCCCATCCTTCAAGGAACCTTCTTTAGTGGGGCTACTGTGCACCTCAGCTCTTTGAAAAGAGCCCTCTTGTTATAAAGGCAAAGCTGGCCAGTCATGCAGATGAGATGTAAGGTGGAATACCATCCAGGTGCCCTCCATGCTTGAGCTCTGAGCGTATACTTTTTAGATGTGTCCTACAGAGAGCAGATTCTACATGCCCTTCCCTGCTTCTCAGAGGTTCTTTCTATAATGGAACCGGAGTGTCAGAGGCCCAAATTATCATTTGCCTCAGACGCAATCTTGTCTGGAGCTAGGTCAGTACGAGCAATGGAAAGAATGAAGATGGCGAGGAAGTCTTGAGACTACAGCTGCTGGTGTCATTGCAGAGGCCACATAAAACTGTCTTACAGAGGGACAAGGGGTCTTCTATAGGCTGGCTTTCAGCTTGCTGTAGCAATTTTTTAATCTTATTTATTCCTTGAGGAATCCTACTTGATCACATACTCAGGGCAGGGAAACAAAGGTTAAGCAAGTGGCCATGTAGTCTTGACTTCCTATGCTGCATTTAAAAAGAATTCCCACCTGTATGGTATGTCAGGTGCAGGCAGATTCATTCTGATGTAGCTGTGTTGACAGTCACTGTGACACTGTGAGAAAACAGGATGGCTCCAGACCTTGGGGCTAACCTTTCCCAGCTTCCCTAGTATCCCTAGAAAGACCCTAACTGGTAGCATCTTTGAGAACATGAAGAACAAACACCAGTATTTCACACTTAGACTTGATAGGCACTTGGAGGCAGTGTGTGTGTGTGTGTGTGTGTGTGTGTGTGTGTGTGTGTACATATGCATGAGGGTGTGCATATGTAGGTCAGAGATCAGCCTCTGGTGTTTTTTGAGGTGCCATCTTGTTTTGAGTCAGGGTCTCTGTCTGGCATGGAGCTCACAGAGTAGACTAGATGGCTGGCTGGCAAACTGCAGGGGTTCACCTACTTCTGGGGTTGCTGAGACTTCAAGCCATGCTCAACTTTTCCTATGTGGGTTCAGGTCCCCCTGCTTTCATGGCAAACTCTTTGTTGTTGGGGGCCAGGCTGGTCCAAGGCTTTCTCTGAGGCCCTGACGTATGGGGAAGAAATATAGCTCCCTGTCTAAAATGAGGAATATGTTTGGTGAGGCCAGTGATGGCTTGGGGACTGAGCCTTGGAGGAAGTGTGACTTCAGATTCTGAGGACCCAACACTTCCCCCACTAAAGGGTTATGGTTATTAGTCCCAAGGCTACTATGTCCTCATCTGTGATGTACTTGAGATATCCTGTGGGCAACATTGCTTTAATAACTTCCTGCTGACTTCGTCTCATTGTATTACAGTTTTCTGCTGACTCTGTCCCATTTTTTTTTTTCACTGAAACTTAGATATAAGATGCTGTACTTCTTAATAATATTTGCTTGGCATAAGAACGTCTGACCCCAACTTTTCCTATCTTCTTTATCTCCTCAGCCCCAGGTCCTTCCTCTCAGGAACCTGACTCTAAAGAATGACCTGTTGGTCCAGGCCACTTGTCATTAGCCATCTCCCTATTCCTAGACCTTCTTTAGGGTTCTTAAAACAATTCCTAATCAAGTTAGCTAAGCTGATTTGTTGTTGGGAAAATAAAAATGGACAGGTGTGAGTGGAATTTAAAAGAAAATCACCTCCACTTAATGCAGTCACACACCACTTAATGCGGTCCTGTGACAGGACAAGATTTGCTATTTTAAATGCAGCGTTGGTTTAGGATGCCTTTTCCCAAAACGAGTCAGATTTTCCAGAAAGGTACTTACTTTGAGGACATCATCCAAGTGCGTGACTTCTTGGTTCAGATCCTGGAACTCTTTGTACTGCTCCTTGTGTGGGTCTAATGCGAGGAAGAGTCCATGGAAGGCATCTTCCAGGCTGCCATCGAGAAAGGAGCGGCCAGCCTCAGATTCACTACCAACAGAGCCTTCAAAGAAAAGCTTCTCTGTGGCTATGGGCCCATCGGTGGAGGTGAGCCTCTTCACTAGTTGCTTGGTGATGTTTCCTTCAAACGTGTCCAGCTCCACTGGCTTGAGCTCAGAGGCCTCATCTGATTCCTGCAGGAGAGTCTCGGCAACACTATTCTCCAGGAACAGGCTCTCTGTCCCGGACCCAGGCACTGCACCGGGCTTCCGGAGCTCTACCCTATCACTCTTTGTGTGGGACTTTGGCTCAGGGTCCTCACCCAGGGAATTCCTGGAAGATGCTGAGCTGCTGTCCTCAGTGCCCTCGTTCTGTGAGGACAGGCTTCCATGGGTGAGCTCAGCAGGGGTGATGGTAATTTCTGGATGGGCTGAGTGTGAGCTGGAGGGCGAGGTGGCTGAGCTGGAGGTGAAGACACAGTCTCCGTCCTGCAGGTCGCTAAAGCTGAGGGACAGTGGCCTTTTCTCCTCTGCTGCCTTTCCACTCTCAAAAATGTCATCTGGCAGATTTGACTGTAGAGAAAGATATGACATGACACACTTGGCATGATTCATCTCTAGACAAGAGATTAATGTTAGCGATTTATTTGGTGCGTGCGTGCGTGCGTGCGTGCGTGTGTGTGTGTGTGTGTGTGTGTGTGTGTGTGTGTGTATGCAGGCAAAGGAAAACACATCATTAAAAACTGTTTCTGTTGTTGGATCTAGGTGAAAGTTCATGGTGCTATTCTTAGGTTTAACACTTTTCAGATGCACTCTGAGGGTGAGTGGGGATGTTGCTTGTGTGTGTGTGTGTGTGTGTGTGTGTGTGTGTGTGTGTGTGTTAATTGCAGGACCTCACAGTACTCGGCACCCATCATTATGAATAGCACTACCCATCTTTTTAATTATTATTTTTGTGTGTGCTGTGTGTATGTTATGTATTAAAAGACTTTACACTCCCATGTTCCTTTACTCCAAAGATGAGTTATTTGTTCTGCCTCAGTTCTCAACAATTACCTTTTGAAAAACATTCACTGACAGATTCCAAACTTTTGAAATACATTTTGTTTAGCTTCTGTAGAAACAAAAGAGACTAATGGGTGGGACATCTGTCTCTCAGGAGGCAAACCCTGGCTGGGGCTCAGGAGTCTCAGGAAATAGTTCTCTGTCAAGCATGCCCTGCTTCAGGTTCTCTCTCTGAAGAGAGAGGTCAGAGGTCACCAGCCAACTGACTTCTTCAAATTCGAAGTCAGTATCCTAGCACCATGATATGACACTGTCCTTTACAAAATTTACAAATTCATGCCAAGAATGCCATAGCTGAAAAGAAAAAAGAAAAATCTCATAGTGCCTTAACTACGTGTATAATTTTGTGTTGGGCTGTGTTTATAGGTATGGTTGCCTGTAGAAAAGGCTTGCTAGGTATTTGAGAATAGCCTCTTAGAAATTGGTTTCTTTTCTTACATTCCAGGTGGGATTTAAGATGTTTATTTTATTGTATTGTGTGTGTGTGTGTGTGTGTGTGTGTGTGTGTGAGAGAGAGAGAGAGAGAGAGAGAGAGAGAGAGAGAGGGAGGGAGGGCATGGACATGCATGTGGAGGTCAGAGGACAACCTTAGGTCCTGGTCCTCATCTCTTGCTTTGTTTGAGACAGGGTCACCACTGAGTATGGCAGGGTGGCTGGCCTGTGAGCGTGTCACAGTTCTGCTTCCCCCTCCCATCCCACTACAGAAACACTGGGGTCGCAGCCGTGTGTGCCACCATATCCAGCTTTCTGTGAGTTCTGCATCTCCAAACCCAGTTCCTCATGCTTTTGTAGCAACTGCTTTACCGACTGAGTCATCTCCCTAGCTTTCAAATTAGATTGAAAAAATTGTTAATTTTGGCGTGTGTGTGTGTGTGTGTGTGTGTGCATATGTATGTTAATGTGTGTTTAAGTGTGTGTGTGTATGTGTGAGTATGTATGGGAATGTGTGTGTGAGTGTGTGTGAGTATGTGTGTGTGTGTATGTATAGGAATGTGTGTGTGAGTGTGTGTGCATGTATGTGTGAGTGTGTGTGCATATGTATGTTAGTGTGTGAGTGTGTACTCAAATGTGTGTGTGTATGTGTGTGTGTGAATGGGAATGTGTGTGTGAGTGTGTATGTGTGAGTATGTATGGGAATGTGTGTGTGAGTGTGTGTGTATAGGAATGTGTAGTGTGTGTGTGAGTATGTGTGTGTGTGTGTGTGTGTGTGTACACACACATGTAGAGGTTAAGGGACAACTTCATGGAGACAATTCTCTCATTTCACTAGTGACTGACCTAAGATTGTCAACTTGTGCGACCATGCACTTTTACCCACTGAGGACCTCATCGGTCCTTCAGATTGGGCTTTTGATGAGCAGGTATTGCTCTCTGTATCCATTGATTCTAAACCCGCAGAATCAAGCAACCACAGAAGGAAACATTTGGGACAGGTACAGACCTTTCCTTGCCATTACTACAGTAGGATAACTTTCCACCCATGAGTTACACTGTGTTAGGAGTCATATGTTAGCTCATAAGGAGATGGTTTGAAGTACAAGGGGGTGTACAGAAGGTCTGTGTGATCACTATTGCCATTTGATGTAAGGGGCTTGAGCCTCTGTGGATATAAGTATCTGATGGGGTCCAGGATCAATTCCCTATAGATACTCAAGGCTAGCTATGTATAGTAAGTGTTAAGCTAATGTCTGTTTCAATTACATATAAAATCAAGAATTTCCCAGTGAAAAATGAGGGAACTAGGGCAAGCAGGACAGAAGCTGTCATTCTCTGAGCCCTGGAGACAGAGGGCCCCGTGCACTTCTCTCTCCGCTCTAATCCGAGTTCCTCCTTCTACTTGCACATTCTGTTACTCCCTTACCTCTCCAGTAAAGGAAAAGGGAAGGTTTGGGGAACAGCTTGGTGAATACAATGTGACCAGCTATATCATATGCCTGCCACTATGCCTTCTCCACCATGTACCTCTTAAACTGTGGGTTCCAATAAACTCTTCCTGCATTAAACTGCTTCTTTTCAGGTATTTTGTCATGTGTGGTAAGTAACTTCAACATTCCTGTATCCCTCCAAGGTGTATCACATGGGCATGGATATCTGTCACATCAATAGTTACATGTACAAGTGTATCTGCCTATTGGTATTGGGTATTCCTTTTACACATTTCCCATATGGTCTCTCTATTTTCTTCTGAAACTACATGAGCATTTACATTGTCTCTTTCACCTTCATTTTTAGTTCAATGAATGAGATACAATTGTTGTTGTTAGCCAGAAGTCCTTTAATCTCCTCTCAGGAGAAATAAAGGTGACAATTACTCTTCAGACAACGAGCAAAAACATTTCTCGTATGTATGTGTTCCTGCCCATAGGTTACCTATTATGTTTCTATGAATTCCAGGGTTTCTTCTACTAGAGCAGGATGGAATGAACAAATACTGCAACAACTGAAGGCAGAAGCAGCTGTGACAGAGTTAGCATAATCTATTTTTGAGTCTTTGAGTACCAGCTCTTGGAAGTCTGATGCCAGTCATAAGCCAGTTACATTTGGAAATTACAATTTCCCCCTGTCCTCATAGGAACTCAGTCCCTGGTGCTCACCTTCTAACCCCCTCATTCCACTTTCTGAGCTCTGGGCTCATAGATGTACATCTGTCCATATGGTACTGAGTTTAGAATCCTGGACTCAAACACTCTACCAAGTGAGCTATATCCCCAGCCCCAATACTATTGTTTGTTTTTAAAGGTGAAAATCTTGCTACCATGGAGAAAAATCACAGCATAAAACCAGGAGTTGTTGGAAAAGAAGGGCGACAGAGTTGCATGCATGACCATGCTTCCCACCCCAAGGACAAGACAGCTATCATCACCCAGCAAGCAAGAGAGATAAGACACAAGAGTCATGCTAGGCTGCATGCATAGGCTCCCTGAAGTCAAGCACACCGCTCCAGGGGGCCCACACTCACATAGAATTCTAGCAGGGCCCTGGGGTTCAGGCTCAGGGAAGGCAGGTCACCGACAGAGTGGTTGTGGTGCAACGTGGCAAAGAAAGTATCTCGCAAGGCACTCAAGACAGACAGCCGCAACCACCTCTTCAGAAGTCAGGGCGAGATGGGGAAGTTAGTGGAAAGAAGCAGGTTAATGGGTTTCCTTTAGTAGTTAGCGGGGCTTGATGAAGTCAACCAGGTACCATTCATATACACTTAAAAAGGTTAATATCAAAGACTGCTTGGAAAACCTACGTGCTGTTTCCCAGTCAAAGGTGAAGTAGAGTGAGGGAGAGACAGGCAGAGGAAGCTAGCCCTGGACTCAGAGGGCCAGTGTGTCCCAGAACATGGCTGTCATAGTCACCACACACTTACAGTGACCTCTAGGAATCACTTTCCTTCTTTCCATGTGTTTATGTGTGTGGTATGCATTCCTGTACTGATGTATGTGCATGTTTACATGCACAGGTAAGGAGTTCCAAGGTTGATATTAGGTATCTGTTTTGATTGCTTTCTCACCTTATTCTCCCAAGGCAGGTTCTCTCAGTCAAACTCAGAGCTCTAGGATATGGATAATCTCACAAGTCAGCCTGCTCTGGATGTCCCCATCTCAGCTTTTCCAGGCTGGAATTATAGGTGGGCCATCACACCCACCCAGCATTTATGTATGTTTTGGCGATCCAAACTCCTAGTCCCCATGCTTGCATATCAAGCACTTTAACTGATGAGCCATCTCCCCTATTCTAGAAAATCTCTGCCATGGATGTTAAACATTTCAAATTCTGCTGGAACTTCTAAGCCTTATCATCTCTGTGCCAGAAATCACTCTGAACTTACGAAGAAGGAGTGGTCTTTGAAGGTAGGTGTTTCTGGGGTGCCCTGGCTGTACATGGACATCCTCCGCTGGAGAGCGGCTGCCTTGTTCCCAGGGCCAGATGATGGGGTTGTGTCCTCCACGTCAAAGGGACTGTAAAACAATAGGTTCTCAGGTCAGCATATCTGTTAAAAATCACCTGTCATTATGAGATGGCGGGAAGATGGCTTCTCATGTGACAACATCTACTCTACTCAGACCAGTGGGTTTGGAGCTGGTTGGATCAAATTAGGATGTCAGGAAATATAAAGGAAAAAGAAAGTGTAGCAGTTTGGGTGTGGCCATTGCTCCATGCTGATGCCTCGGTACACATAGCAGCTCTGAACAGCTTTAGCCATCAGCACCTGCTTTTCTATGATGAACTTGAAAAAGGGAACTTACTACCAAGTGATTTCCAGGTTCAGTTTGATGGTACCAAGGTCATTGATGTCAACAGCCACCACCTGGGGTCGGGCTGCAAACAGCTCTTTGGTCTCACAGGTGACACTGCCCACCAGGATGTGAGTTGCCAGCCCTTTGAGTTCGGTGACCTGGTAGAGAAGGTGAGAGCAGAAAAGGAGGAATAGTCTGTGTTCATTTTCCGTTGTCAACTGATTCCTTATTTCAGAAATACATCTGACATGTATTTTTAAAAATGGTACTTTGTTACAGTTACTTTGTCTCCTGTCTTTTGAGAGCAGTTCAAGGAAAAGTGGCTTTGCACAGACAGAAACCTGTATATGGGATGGAGGGTCCCCACCCAGGGATCATTGGGCGATGACGCCAGGAAAAGCAACAAAAGGCGACAATACCACTGTACCTTGATGGAAATGAGCCCAACTATGAGGGGCAAGAAGACGGTTTCTTCTCCATCCCAGCTCTGTTTGCCATTCACTTCTATTTTGCCCTTCAGTTTCCACCTCTGCCGGCCATACTTCATGAAAATCTGGGATGAAGACATCAGGGAACCTCGTGTCCCACCAGACCCCACCTTCTCTCCCAGTTGCCCAGATCCAAGGGCCAGGAAGTAGGCACCTGCCCTTCATTTCTCTTCCCCCTCCCCCCCCCCGGCCCCATGGAGCCCATGAGGAGTCTGGAGGAGGATTAATTGATTTCTTTATTTATTTGAAACTGGGCCTCACTATGTAGCACCCCTGGTTAGACTGGAACTCACTAAGCAGATCAGGCTGGCCTCCAAACTCACAGCGCTCCACCTGCCTCTGACTCTTGAGTGCTATTGTTATAGGCATATTGTCAGCACATCTGGCCCAGTCAAGGGGTACAATCTGCTTCTTTAGCTGAGGGTGCAGAAGTTTCTTTAGTAAGAGATCATAGCAGTTGCTGGAGAGTTAGCTCAGTGGCTAAGAGCATTTGCTGCTCTTGCAGAGGTTTGGCTCCCAGCACCCACATCAATGCTTATAGCTGCGTTAATTCCAGTTCCAGAGGCTCCAACAACCCTTCTAGCCTCTTCAGGTATTTGGTCACACATAGTGTACAGACATGCATGCAGTCAAAGCACTCATACATATAAAATAAAAATAAATCTACATAGGTATTTTAAAAAGAGGTCATAGCCACGCGTTGGTGGCATACACCTTTATTCCCAGCACTTGGAAGGCAGAGGCAGGAGGATTTCTGAGTTCACAGCCAGCCTGGCCTACCGAGTGAGTTCCAGGATAGCTAGGACTACACAGAGAAACCTTGTTTTGAAAAAAACCATAAAATAAAATAAAAATTGGTCATAGCCTTGCATCAGTCTGCCCACTTGTCTTTGTCCATTCTGCGTCACTATCTCAGCCACCAGAACTCTCTCTCTCTACTGACACCAGCTCCTTTAGAGACAAGAACCATTCCCAATTCTATCTGAGACCTTCCATTCTCTGGCAGAGGAGGACAGCAGGAGTGAATGATCTCAGAGCCTTTGTAAGGAGACGATGAAAGTGTTGTGTATATTGTCTTTTGAAGAAGGAAAAGACAAAAGGCATTTACTTCACAAAGGTTTCGGTTGTTTTGTTTTTGAGACAGGGTCTTGCTATGTGTCTCAGACTCTCTCTCTCTCTTGGCTTTTCAAGACAGGGTTTCTCAGTGTAGCCCTGGCTGTCCTGAAACTCTTTATAGACCAGACTGGTCTAGCACTCATGGAGTTCCTCCTGCCTCTGCCTCCCAAGTGCTGAGATTGAAGGCATGAACCACCACCATGAGACAAGGCTCAGGCTATCTCAAACTGACAATCTCTTCAGGTGTGAGCTACCATGTTGTTTTAAAGTAAGTTTTTATAAAGAAAACTATAATCAGGTATGGGTCTTGTCCAACCTTTGGACATGGTCAGATGATATTGTCACACACCAAGTTCACACTCAAAAACTCTGCAATTGAGTTATCAAAAATTTCCACATGAACAAAATAACCTAATGTCTGACATTTATGATTTTGTGTTACGTCATATTCATATTCTTGGCTGCATGCAGTCCACAGGCCATGTGAGCTAGACATGCCTGGTAGCTGTGTTTCTTTTACAATCATAAGACTTTGAATCAGTCATGATCCTAGATTAGATCTTGGATCAGAAAGAAAAATGGCTACAATGTAAAAATTTGGGGCACCTGAAGGCTATAAATGCAGACTATCAGATGGCATTTGCTGAAGAGGCAATGCTAAATTTGTAAGTGTTAAGGATTGTTTGGGGCTTATGTGTTGGGAGAAGAGCTTAGGGATGAAGGGTCATAGTTGGCTGTGAGTAAAGTAACATCTGCAAGGTAATGATGGGGTATATAGAACTGTCATGTTCCAAATGTGGGCATTTTTAGATACCCTCCGAACTTTCTAATTGGCTCAAAATGTTATAAGACAAATTAAGCAAAAATAACTGAACTCTGGCCTGGTATTCTGTGCCTGACATCCTAGCTGAGGCAGGAGGATCACAAGTTCAAGGCTAGCCTGAGCAACTTTATGAAATGCTGTTTTAAAAATCAAAGAGTAGGGGTGGAAAAATGGCTCAGTCATTAAGAGCATATATTGCTTTTGCAGAGAACCTGAATTCAGTTCCCTGCACCCACATCAGAAGGCTCACAACTGCCTGAAACTTAAGCTCTGATCTCTGTCGTATCCTCACTCCTGTCCCCATATACCCACACAGACACAGACAGACAGATACACATTGTTTTTTTAAAAAGTAAAACACTGACTGAAGATGTAGTTCAATGGTTAACATGCATAAGAGTCTGGGTTCAATTCCTAGTACCAAAACAGCAGCAGCAACAAAAAAAAAAAACTATAGCCAGCCCTTCCCCTTCAAGCCCCCAATGCCAACATGTAGACCAACATGTTACTTACTTCATATTGATCTCCAGGGCAGAGGCGAGCAAAGCCAGCCAGACCTGTAAGCAAGAGATTGGGCTTTGAGGTACAGAACTCATTTCCCTTCTTTAGAGGCCCAATTTGTTATAGGTTTAAAACTCAAGTAATATGTGAAACTGGAGAAAATGCAGGTAACAGACTTGGGTCCATCTTTGGAGAATAGCCTTTGCAGGTGATGTCTAGGGATTCCATCCATCAAGGCTAGAGGGGGGTGTTCCTTGATAGGGTGGTTGGGAGGGGGGATTTACAGGATTGGGGAGGATGTTGGGTGGTTAGAACTCTGTGTACCTTTGGCAGATTTCAGGATCAGGATCAGGACAGCAGGATCAGAAAGATCTGTTCTTTCACTGACCAAAATATTCCCATGAAAATAAACTGGCCTCTTGTTTTTCCTTCTGTCCCAAGATCTGTGACACTAAATACCTCCCTTGTGAGTCCTTGTGCCCACACCCATGACTTGATTGAAGACACTCATTGCCCTCTTTTTCTCATTTTTATACAGAACAATGATACCACTGTTTATGGTTATGAAATTACTAGAAATAGACTATAATGTACACAAAACTTGTGATTAAGAAAACAAACCAAGGGACTGGAGAGATGGATCAGTGGTTGGGAGCACCGATGACTCTTCCAGAGGACCCAGGTTCTACATGGCAGGTCACAGTTGTCTGTGACTCCATGCTCTGACATACTCACACAGACATGAATGCAGGCAAAACACCAATGTACATAAAATAAAAATACATTTAAAAAAGAAAACAAACCAAATCCACCCAACTGCCAACAGCCTACACACTCAACAGAAGAGGTGTTAGTTAGGATTATCATTATTGTGATGAACAGCATGAATAAAACAACTTGGGGAGGAAAGGGTTTATTTGGCTTAAGCTTCCATGTCACTGTTTGTCACTGAAGGAAGTCAGGACAGGAACTCAATCAGGGCAGGAACTTGGAGTCAGCAGCTGATGCAGAGGCCCTAGAGGGGTGCTGCTTACTGGCTTGCTCCACATGGCTTGCTCAGTCTGTTTTCTTATAGAACCCAGGGCCACCTGCTCAGGGATGGCACTACCCACAATAGCCTGGACCCTCCCACATCAATCACTAATTAAGAAAATGCTCTACAGCTGGATCTTATGGAGGCATTTTCTCAATTGAGGTTCCCTCCTCTCAGATGACTCGAGCCTATGTGAAGTTGACATAGAACTAACTAGCTAGCACAAGGTGGCTTTCCTTCCCCGGTGCCATCTGCCAGTCATTTGGAAATGGACTTCTCCCTTGAGGTTTACTATGCACCAGCCTGGTTCAGCAGCAAAAAATCTTATCTTGGGGCAGCTCAGGAGCCTCAGCTTTGGTCACCCCTTTCCTTCTTCCTTTAGATATTTACTGAAAGCCTACTGTGTGAGGCTGAAGATATTTATTTACATTTTCATTTCTTCAGGGAAAATTCATGACAAAACTTCCAGTGAAAAATTTAGCACAGGTGTTTTTCATTTATAACCTTTGAGTCCTGGAAGGTTGATATGCTTGTGCATGTATACGTGTGCACATGTGTGCCTTTTTATGTGGAATTCAGAGTTCAATGCTGACATTGATACTGTCTTCCTCGATTGCTTCATCCGCCTTCATTTTTGAGACAAGATCTCTTACTGAACCTGGAGGTTGCCGTTTGGTTAGACTGGCTGCCCAGAAAACAGGGACCTACCCTACTTACCTGTCTCACCTCCCCCTGCCACTCCCACTCCCGCCACCAAGCTGGGATTATAGATGCGTGACACTATGCTCAGCTTTTTACACGGGTTCTGCATATCCAAACTCAGACCCCTACGCTTGCTTCATGCTGTCTTCTCTGCCCTGGGTTGTGTTTCTAGCAAACCCCATTTTAGTCATGAAACATAACAAAGACCATGTCGCGTTGCGTGTTCTACCTTTAATGAGTGGCTCAACTAATAGACTGTGAGACTCTGCAATGAATGAATATGCTTCCCATTGGCCTATGGGCACAGTTAGTTATAAATAAGATCTGTAAGTCCAGGGGAACTTCAAAATGGACCCATCTTTTTTTTTTTTTTTTTTTTTTTAACCACCATTCGTCAGTAGATGGCAGTAATTCACCAACTTGGCATACTTTTTCTTGGGCGAGCCTATCCATCTAGGACCAGCTCTCACTAATAATTAGAAGCTAATGAGCCACTTACGAAGACTCATTGTAATAAAAGCAGGGTTGGAGGAAGCTATTTTCATGAATAGTTTTGGAGCACTTAGGCTTTCTTCCCCCCACAAAAATACACCTGAAAGAAAACATCGCTGGCTGATTCTTATGAATCCAAAGTCTGATGTGCTAATTCTAAGGAAACCCAGTTTGTCCTTTGAAAACCGACAGATTATTAGTTTGGGGTTAATCTGCTACCTGCTTATGAAGTGGGCCGGGTACCGTGCTAGATAAGGCGAGCAAAGGGGAAGAGTTGTTTGACGATTCATCCCTCTTCTCAAAATAAACCTATGTGAGGGGGAAGGGTGTGGTTGGGATGGATTTGGGGCCTCACTGCCCATGTAATGAAAGCATTTTCTTGGCATTCCTTGCAAGACTTTTCCTATCCTCTGGTGACAGTGGTAACATCAGAAGGGCAGCCATCAGGAGGAAACAGTTCCTGGGGACGCTTCTTGCTCAAAGCTCCCCAGGTGGTGGTGTTCATGGTGCAGGCTACAGAACAATCAGTGGCAGTGACAGTGACAGCCTGTCTTTGGGCCTGGCAGGGTTCTTTCAATTCTGGCCCGAGGCCCTGCTGGCATTTCTACAGCTGTAGGAAGCTCAGTGTTTTCTCAGCTGGGATGGTAACTGTTATGCCAGTTAAGTTTTCATTAAGGCCACTCAGGACCCAATCCCGGGTTCCCTCTAATGGCGTACCTGGGAGGCCAGGAAATAGGGGACTTATGTATTCGCATGGGTCTTCCATCTTTTCAATCTCTTAAACCTGCTCCAGTGTTACTGATGTAACAGCTTTTTTACAGCCTGAATGGAGGGGAGGGTGATGTCCCAGGGTGACTGTATGAATATGAAATGGCCCCAGGCTCAAGTTTGAACATTCAGTCACCAGCTGACTCCCTCTCCCACAGTGGATTGAATTCCCCCAAACCTTAAGCCACAATGACGCCTTTCCCCTTAAGTTAGTGGTTGCTTTCAGAGAGTTTATCACAGTGGAGAAAAGGTGCTGATTATACAGCCACACAGCTATACAGATGTATAGTAGTTACCCACGCCGGATTCCTGTGCCACTGGCTCCCTTTGCTCAAACATGGCTTTGTCATAGGAGTCCTCCACTGTTTCCCAGTTCTGCCATGACCTTCCTAAGAGTGTTACCTCCGACTTTAAGGTGAATTGTCAAGCACCTGGCAGCTGTGTGTCTTAACACAGACCTTTCTGTTCTATGGGCAGCCTCCTAGCTCACCAGAGGCTGGCCTTGCCCTATAAGCAAGCCATGGCACCCAGCTAGCGTTGACCTCAGGACATGTGTGCTCCTGGAACTCACTTGCGGTGAGGCAACAATTGGGAAGAAAACCAGCCATTCTTAGCTCCTTCCTTTTCCGGGGATCTTGAATTAAGTTCTCCTCAGCTGGGCACTCAGGAGTTGACAACCTAAACAGCTCCCACAGCACTTTCACAGAGCACACAGGCCACAGCACTCTCCCTGCCAGCATTGGGCAGCCCTCCCCCCTTCAGGGGGGGCTTTCAGCTTATTTGTCCTAAGGTCACTTTAGGAAGCCCCCTTCACGCCCAGCCTCCTGCCAAGCACGTGTGTGTGTCGTCGTCCCCCCCCCCCCCAGTGGAAACCTCTTTAAATTAATCTTTTTTTTTTTTTTGAGACAACATCTAACTCTAAAGCCCAGGCTGGCCTCAAACTTGCAACAATCCTGCCTCAGCCTCAAGAGTGCTGAGATTACAGGGATGAACCACCAAGCTTGACAATTTTGTTTTTGTTTTTTTTTTTTTCTTTTGAGACACTTTATTATGTAGCCCAAGCTGGCTTTGTGCTCAGACCCTGCTGCCTCTGCCCTCAGCAGCCCCTCCCTCCATCGTGGGCTCAGGCTTCTACAGCAGTCTGGTCATTTGATTGGTTCAATTGTCCATGTATGCCCACTGAGTGAGGATGTGCTACTCAGAGGTCCCTCTCCCCACCGCCTTAGCTGGGGAGTCCAGGGCAGGGGTCACGAGGAGGCAGAGGCAGGTGTGCACAGCTCAGCAGCCCCTGCCCCAGTGTCTTTAGCACCATCACCAGGACAACTGCCCTTCATGCTGTAGTTAGTTGCGGGGTTGAGCAAAAGGGAAGTTAGGGGTTGCCAGGTCTGACAATGTGATGCAAGTGACTAGTTTTGGAGATGGGGGTAGGGGTTGGGGGTGTCTCCTAATCAAATACAATGGTCAGGAGTGGCTTATGGGAATCTAGGATGTCTTGACTTGGCAGCAGGGAGGTCTTCTTTTGTGGAGGGAGAAGAAGATGGTGTGTGTGTGTGTGTGTGTGTGTGTGTGTGTGTGTGTGTGTAATCACAGGTGCAGTTTCTGGGTTTTTTATGTTAAGAGAGTAGAGGTGACAGAGGCTGAGTTGAGGGCAACCAAGGAAGCAGATGGGAAAAGTGGGCAGAGGGAGAGAGCAGAGCTCTGGAATTCACTACATCAGCCCAAGGCACCCGTTCACTGTTGGCGGCCTGGACAGCTCTACCCATGGCAGACTCTCAGTATCATTTCCTCATTACCTCCAGGTCTGAGATGTAGATCATTGGATGGTGGGCAGTCCCTTTCCCCTACCAAGCCCTTTGGGTGCCGTGTTTTAGGGTGAAGGGGATCCCTTTTCTAGGGAAAACCAGCATCTGCGCAGTGGTTGATAGTGTCTGCTCACTGTTGAAACTGCTTCATAATGTGGCATTAAGATAGATGGCCATGTACTGGCAGCTGTGATGGCTAATTTCCATAGCCAAATTACTTGAATAAAAATGCCTAGAAGGCTGGGTATGGTGGATGACTATAATCTTAGCATTTAGGGGGTAGGGAATGGTATGAATATCAAGAGTTCAAAGTCTGCCTCAGCTATATAGCAAATACTACATGAGACCCTGTCTAGAAAGAAAAGAAGGAAGGAAGGAATGAAGGAAGGAAGGAAGGAAGGAAAGAAAGAAGGGGTCCTGAGAAGTAGTGAGGCATAACCCTTAGGGTGTATCTGTGAGGGTGTTTCCACAGTCAATTAATTTAGAAGGCGAGGCCCAGGGTGACCACATCTTGCAGTCTGGGGTTTTGGAATGGATTAAAACAACAACAAAAGGGAGGTAAGCTGGGCACCAGCATTTTCCTTTCTCTGCTTCCTGGTCCTGGGAAATTAGAGAGGTCTCAGCTGCAGGCTTCCACACCCGGTGAGTTCTATTATACCTGCCCTACCATGACCAACTTTTGTCTTCCAAACTATAAGTTACAGTAAATCCCTTCTCCTCAAAGTTGCTTTTTGTCAGGTATTTGTCATAGAGACAAGAAAAGTAACATAGGAGCCAGGACCCAGAATTCAGTTTCAAGTCTGACATCAGCTTACTATGTGAGTGGTGAGAAGTCATCTAATGTCTCTTGGCCACTGGCTCCCACATATGCAACAGAAGAAAGTATCCCTCTCCTAAAAAAAAATGGGAACATCTGTATTGGTCAATGTTAGCAACAGGACACGGGCAGTCCAGGTGTTAACAGTGGTGGGTGACCTCACTCTGTGTGCTCTCCTACATGCCATGGGACATGGAAAGTCCGGGTGCTAACAGTGATAAAGTAACTTCAGTCTGTGTGCTAGCTCACAGAGAACCTGGATGCAGACCAAACCATCCTGCAAGCTTAGAGACCCTTAGAACCCCCATCCTGGCTCTATAGAGTTTGAACTGCTGAGGGAGGGTGGATCCAGAGTGGTTTTAAACTGCCGACTCAGGTGCAGACCCAAGTGGAAGCAAATAGCCCTGAAGAGCTGGAGGGTGCAGGCGCCCAGCAAGTGTTTGGGCTGCATATATGTATGTGCACTACATGTGTGCCTGCTGCCAGAGGAGGTCAGAAGAGGCCGTTTGATCCCATGGGACTGGAGTTACCAATGGTTGTAAGTGATCATGTAGGCAGCTGGAACAGAACCCTGGTTCTTTTCAAGAACCACTGATGTTCTTAATCACCATGCCATGTCTGTAGCCACACCCCGAGTCCTTTTGAAAGGGAGTCTCCCCTTTTCACTCTGCTTGTTGCAGAAAGTAGGAAAGGTGATAACTCTCACTAGCAATCTAGGGATCAAACTGTTAAACAGGCAACCAAACCGAGAGAAAGGACTGCAGGGGCACAGCCGGATCCAAAGCATGGGAGAGAAGAGGACTGGCTGTGATGGTGCCATCCCACAGCCCTCATGGCCACTGTGGACACTGCCATGTAAGTCTGACCACATCTAGGTGGAGCTCTCTTTTCTGAAACCAGGTTTCCTTTTCATCTGAAGATGCTGTAGTTTAAACCAAAGATGCTTCTAGAACATTCTGGACTAAATATTGCAGACTCACTGAAACATGAGAGAGAAGGAACAGATGAAACCATTATGTGACAGACAGCCAAGCATAGTGACACAGGCCTATAGTCCCTGTGCTCGGCATGCTGCGGTAGAAGGATTGCCTTGGGTTTGAGACCAGTCTAAATTATGTAGAAAAATTTCGTTTTAGAAACAAAAAGAAAATGTCCTAGGTAGACAAATAAACAAATGAATGAATAACAATGCAAAGAAGCCAACAGGCAAGTCTAGAATGTTGAACAGGGGTTTGTTTTAGATTAAAGGGAAGCCATCTGACAGCTAATTATAGCACATGGACTTGACTTTACGATACGTGGGTCCTAATTGAAGCCAAGCAACAGTAGGAAGCACTTTTGAGACAGCTGGGGCTATCTGCAAACGCACTAGGTTAATAACAAAGGCTTGTTAATTTTGTTAGATGTGATAATGGGACAACAGGACATGGCACTGTGGTTACATAAGAAGGTGGCCCTATTCTTTCAGAACTGTTCACTGAAGTTTACAGGCACTGGCTGACATACTTGGGTTTTACTCCTCTGGAGTTTTCTAGTTCATCAAGGGAAAAAAAAATGTGGCAAAGTGTTTGTGATTACTGAATCTGCAGGACGGATTGTGAGGGTTTACAGTTTCATTCAGCCTATTCTTGTGCTTATTTGACATAGTCCTACAATAAACACCGTTTTCAAATGTGAAGACAAGATTCAAGAAGAGACTCATCAAAACACCAACGTGAATGGAAGGGTTAAGTGTGGGTGACTCTGTGATTCTGCAAGGAAAACACAAATAGCATCCTTCTCAGAAAGTGCTGTGAAGACAGCACCTTCCTCTCTCTAAACAAGAAAAGATTACCTTTCATCTTGATGGAGAATTCTCCCAGCAGACTCTCCAGCTCCGCTTCAATGGTGCACATGTTCTGCAAAGAGCATTGGAGATGGTGTTAGATCCACCACCCTTCACACTACAGCTCAAAGCACAAGGCATTTCAATAGTCACAGCATGAACAAAAGGCATTTTCCTGTTGGCCATGAATACACAGGTCAGGCCCAGCGACATGGCTAAGCAAGGCCTCCAGTGCTCAGGATAGCTGGGGCTTAGATGAACATGTTAAATTATACCAAAAGAGTCAGACAAATATAGGATACAGATTGTAAAAAGGAGTATTACTGTGATGGGGAATCATCCATATATACCACATAGGAAGAGATCCATGCTCCAGGTTAAACAAGCTGGGTCAGCCATTCTATAGTGTATGCCTGTTTCATAACATGTTATATATCACACACACACACACACACACACACACACCACGTATCATTTACTTGCTAAATTAAATAATAATAATAATAAGAAGAATAAGAAAGCAGGCATTGCAATACAAGGAAGGCAGAGTGGCTGACCTCTAAGGCTTGTTGGCTTGCCAGCCTAGCCTACTTAGAGAGTTCTAGGCCAGTGAGAAATCCTGTCTTAAGATAAAACAAACAAAACCCAACAAAATGGGCAATAACACCCAAGGGGATGACAGCTTAAGTATTCATCTGGTTTCTACAAGCACCTCTCTATAACACACATACACACACACACACACACACACACACACACACACACACACACACACACACACACACGAGGAGGGGTTAGGCTCAAGTGAGGCACACTTCCTAATGTAATGTCATGAAGTTCCAGAATGACCCCCTGGGTCTAGTAGGAGTCCCTTCCTCACTGTGGTGCTAAAGGAATGAGAGGTTGAAGGTTACAATGCCTAACTACACCCGTCCTACTGCCCCAGTATCTGATGACCTAATGGAAGCAGTTAGGGGCAGTTAGAGCAGCTAGAGCCACAGCCTGGGTCTGTCCCAGTGAGGGTCTCATGGAGCTCAGCTGGGGCAAGATTTGGAAGCCTCCACACTGTAGTAAGCTGCAGTGTCCACTGCTTCTGCAAGCATCTTCCTCATGGCCAGCTTCACTGAGGCTCGGCCTGTGTGAGTGGCCTTTCCAACAAAAGCAAGGCCGCTCAGAGAGCATGGGCAGGTACAAGCACAGCTTCAGGGAGCTTACCCCTCCTGTCAGAAGTTCTTAGTACTTCAGAGAGCTTAGAATAGCTGGGAAGGCAAAGCATTTCCTCAGTCTGGGCTCAGAGGAACTTGAAAGCTTTGAAAACAAAATCACAGCTTCCTCAGAGCCTGAGGCCCTTCTGCAAGGGAATACTTGCTAGACATCCCAGATGTGTCATCAGACACATTGGGACTGTTACTAGTGTCTCAAGAACTCAGGGGCCACTATGTTAACAGCTCAAGTCACCCATGGTCAGAACACAACCAGGGATGAACACCGTTACATATGGGAAAATACTCTGAGACTTGCCACTGCAATTATGGTGTGATAAAATCACTAAACTGGAGTGCTTATTAGGGCTGTTTCTGGATCCTATAATTTTGATGTGCTCAAAAAGCCAGTAATAGGGCTGGAGAGATGGCTCAGCGGGTTGAGAGCACAGGCTGTTCTGCCAGAGGATCCAGGTTCAGTTCCCAGCATCTAAACCGTGACCCCTAACTTCCTGTAACTCCAATTGCAGGGGATCCAGTGCCTTCTGAATCCAGCATTCACTTTAATGACCCAGCTATCTCCACAGCCCTTATTATTTATTTGTTTATTTATTTATTTGAGACAAGTTCTTGCTATGTAGACCTAGCTGGTCTAGTAGTTACTATTTAGCCCACAGTGGTCTTAGACTTGAAGCAAATCTCCTGTTTTAGTCTCCAACTGTTGAGATTACACTATGACTATTTAATGAATTAAACATATTCTTGTGAAAATGGGAATTCAGGCAAAGAAGAGCCTAAGGTTAAATCATGAAAATAGCAAGACTTGGTTGAGACAATGGGCAGCCCCGAGTTCGAGCATAAAGGCATCTATCCTGAAGCAGATGCTTGGCTCTGTAAATTGTTCACCAGAACCTGCTCGAGCCATGACCTCATGGATGACATTTGATCTCCGAAGACAGTTTCCAGGGACAGCGAGACAAGCTTTAATAATTTAGCCTGTTCATCAAGGCATGCATTAGTGTTAGGTGACCCCTAGAGAGGTGAAAACTTCCCAGTCCAGTGGTTGGGCCCCAGGGACCATCAGAAGCCAGGAAGATACATTTCTGTTCAAGGTTCTTTATATTGGATAAAAATTTCTCATATACACATCAAAAAGCAAGTAAACAAGCAAACAAAAAACAATAACAAAAGCAAAACTGAAGGCAGGCCTGGGGTTTACTCTTTCTTCAGGGCACACAACAGTATTTGGAAGTGAATTTACATGACGTCATGTTAGGCATCATGGCTTGGTTTAGACAATTCCACCACTGTCTTGCTTTCTTGGAGTTTTCCTCATGTCTGTCAGGTAAATAAATGCTCCACTGCTGACCTACTTTCTCAGCTCTCTTTTTCTTTTTTCTTGTTTTCATTTTGAGCCACAGTCTCAAAGCCCACATTAGCCTGGAACTTGCAATTCCCCTGCATCACCTTCCTGAGCAGCTGGGCTTACAGGCCTGTGCCAGCAGGCCTGGCTGCATTTGTGTGTACTTTCTAGAGTATGGAATGGGTTTGTGTGCTGCTGCTGCTGCTCGTCTTTTTTCTGGCAGTGACTAACAGGTCAGATGTGGCCATGGAAAGAGATGGCAGGGTTTACCTCTGTGTACTCCTTATAGCTGCGGTTGATCTCAGACAGACTCTCCCGGGCAGCCTTGCTGGCAGGGGACGCTGCAAATGCTTGCTTCATTTTGCTGGCACCATCTTGGAGGCGCCGTTGGATACAATAGGCTTCATAAAGCTCATCTACCTGCCAGAGCCCAAACAGGAAAGAGATAAATAATCCTCATGCTTGAGAGAAGTCCCACAGGCCCTTGTCATGCCCTTAAAGATACACTGTCTTTCTAGTCTCAAGAAACAGAGTCCTGCCACAGGTGATTCCTTTAGAACAGTTTGTTTCAGCACTATGTGGCAGGTTTGTTTGTTTGTTTCAAAGCAGATTTTGCTCAAATACTGTTTCTAAATTGCATAAATGCTTGTACTCAGAGCTCTCTCTTGAATGCATAGCTCATGTTTTCTCCGCTAAATGGAAGGCCAGCAAGCCCCTGCCACCCTCCTATCTTGGAACTTGGGTTACAGGCATTTTAGGGACACTCAGCTTATGGAATGGGTGCTGGGGTTTCAAACCCCAGTCCTCATGATTCCAAGATTGCATAGCAAGTACTATTAACCACAGAACCATTTCTGTAGGCCTGGAGTCAGCCTTTTTGTTTGTTTGTTTGTTTTTTCATTCTTAATTATGTGGCTATATGCTATGTGTATCTATGTGTGGGTATGTGTACTTGAGTGCAGGTGCCCTTGGAAGCCAGAAGAGGGCATCAGATCCTCTGGAGCTGGAGTTACAGGTAGTTGCATGCCAAGGGATGTAGGTGCTGGGAACTGAACTCTGCAATGGTAGCATCTGCTCTTAACCACTGAGACATCTCTCTAGCCCCAGAATTAAGTGTTTAAAAATTTAAAATGAGTTATTTACTTAAAACAATTTTGTGAAGTCATGGATCAATAGCAAAGAAAGTAAATTAATTTGTTCAAATTCATTTTCAAAGTGAAGTCCCAACAGCAACAAATGATCAGACTTTACATTCTTATTTCTCCCCATCTTCCTCCCTCCCACCCTTTTTTGCTTAATTCCTCTCTTTCTTTTGTATTTTATTTATTTATATTTCATGTGAATGGGAGTTTAGCTTGCATGTATATCTGTGTACCACATTCATGCCTGGTACACATGGAAGTCAGAGGAATGTGTTGGATCCCCTGGGACTGGAGTTACAATTGGTTGTGAGCCACCATGTGGTGGCTGGGAACTGAACCTGGGTCCTCTGCAAGAACAGCCAGTACTTTTAATCTGAGCCATGTCTCCAGCCCCAAGGCTTTCATGTCTATGTTCAGTTTAGGTATCTATTAGTTGAAGGCTCACAGGGCACATATGCTGGGCAGTATCTAAGAGCAGAAGCAAAGACAACAGCAGTATTGCTTACCTTACTAATGTGAAACTCCAGGCGTCGCATGTATCGCTCAATTGTTTTTATTTGCTGGAATTAAAAGGAGAAGCTTGAGAAAAAGGGCAGCCATTCACAGTGCAAAACATTATTAGGCTTGTGAGAGTAATTTCATTAGCATGCCCTCCCCTCACAAGTTCCGGAAATACCTACTTACCACTTCTTCTTTTCTCCCACCTTGATCACTATTTTAGGTTTGTTCTAATGTTAATTTTGAAAATATTTTTCAGAACACTGACTACCATGAGAGATAAGCTTGAACTAATTATGGTCATCCCATGTTCAACATCAAGGTGGCCAATCCATTTGATTTCTGGTGGAGCAGTCTCATTTTTTGTATGCTCTAAACTGACCTTTTTGTGTATTGAATTGCATCTGAAACTGGGTAGATTTTAGAATTGTTATTTGCCCATTGTGGCAAATAGCCATGGGTTTGGGATCACAGATTCAGCGTTCATGCCAGCCCTATGAATTATAAATATTGTTGTAACATACGTTTGATTTAATTGCCCTTTAAAATATCTTCACAGAGAATATACCATAATTTGGTATTTAAATAAAGCTATGTATATAGAATGGCATGGAGAGTAACTAAAAAGGAAGACACAACAATCTCATTTTAAAAGGCCTGAAAGAATGTTGCTAATAAGAATATATATATATTTAAGTATAATACTTTTCTATTTTATAGTATATTTTTGAAACATTACATTACATATGGAATATGCAGTGGAAATATATTCTAGTGGCACATAAACAATTGTGGCAGTTTCCAATCAGAGATGTCTCATATTTGATGAAAATGGCAGTTACTACTTAAAGGCCACATGGTAACGACCTCTAAATCCAAGTTCCAGACTCACAGAAACCAAAGCAAACACACAACCAGGAGGCCATGTTTCCCTTGAGCTGAATGCCCTTTGATTCTGTAGCACCGAATGCTCATTCATCTCTTAACAAAACTAAATAAATAAAAGGATTTTTCTTCTTCCCAGAATGAGAAAATCATCCTTTATCTGGAATCGTACTGTCTCCCCAAGGGTCTCTTACTGACATCTGCTCAAAGTGCAGAGTTTCACTTCCAGCAACACCCCAACACGGAACGATTGCCTACCTTGTCTAGGTCATACAGCACACCCTGAAATGAAAAGAATAGCCCCTGGTTACAGCACATCGTCCTCAGAAATGCAATCTGCTTCCATAAGCGGTGCAGTTCACATTTCTACATTTCCTGTGAAGGAATCACCAGCCCCATGAAATTCTACTGGATCTTTTGGTATCTGCTTTTACTGAGTAGAACTCTGGGTTATTTGGGGGGTACTCTCAAGAGCCCGCATCACCTCACCTCTGCTACTCTACAAAAACTGCACCCCATGCTTGCCCTCTCGGCAGCTGTAAGGGTTCGTAAAGAAAACCCAGCAAAGTCTATCCACCAGCGAAGTGGAAGACAGACACATGTTCTCACAGAGCTGCCAGGCCCACCTAGGCAGTCTACCTGGGGGTTTCTGCTGCCTCGAAAGGTAAAGGTGTGATAAATAACATTTTGGTATGAACAAAGCCAGTCCTCAGAAATTCATCACAATTGAGCTCATTCTCCATCCAGCATGGATCCCAATGGGGCTCAAAGGTGCTGTCACTCTGGCCTTAGTGACCTTCTTCCCAGCTTCCATGGCTGTCGCCACTGGCTGAGCTGGTTAGGTTTTGACACAAGCCAGGGTCATCTGAGAAGCGGACTGTCAACTAAGAAAAATGCTATCAGGTTGGCATGTAGGCAAGTCCTGCCCATTGTGGGAGGTGCCACTCTTGAACATGTTGTCCTGAGCACCATAAGAAAGCAGGTTGAGAAAGACATGAGGAGAAAGAGAGTGAAGCAGTGCTCCTCCATGCCTCTGTCTCCATTCCTGCCTCCAGGTTCCTGCCTGGCCTCTCTCTATGATGGAGTATACTCTATAAACTGAAAGAAATTCTTCTGCAAGTTGCATTTGGCAAACTAGGGACATTGACCCATATTTACAAGTTCTTGTTTCTGAATTCTGAATCACTAAGGTGATGCTAGGAAAACAGCAACATATCATTTTGTTATATTATGTAGACTTTAAAAAAAAGATTTATATATATATGTATATATATATACACATATATACATATATATATATATATGTCTGCATGTATGTTTGTATACCAGGCGAGGGCACCGGGATCATGAGCAGCCATATGGGTGCTGGGAATTGAACTCAGGACCTCTGGAAGAGAAGCCAGTGATCTTAACCACTGAGCCATCTCTCCATTCCTACTTAGGGAAGTTTTTCCAAAACCATCTTTATCATCTTTATTTCACTATGAAGTATATCTATATAAACACATAGAGAATACCCAGAAGTATTAAGAATAAAGCATTTAAAAGAAAATAATAATTTTCCTTTTATTATTATTATTTTATTTTATTTTAGTGAGACAAGGTCTCCCTATAGTATATCCCAGGCTGGCCATCTTCCTGCCTGGGCTCTCCTCCTGCTGGGGTTACAGATGTGAACCACCATGCTCAGCTCTTCTTCCTTCCAAAACAGCTTTGTTAAGCATTCCTCTCTTCTCTTCCCCTTCCCTCCCCAGCTCTGGTAAGCTAGGGGTGGAAACCCCCACCCTCCACCTTGTGTTAGTATCCTCATGGTTGGAGGGACCTACCAGGCGAGAGTTTCTTTTCATATCTTTTAACTGAGCAGTCAACTTGTCCAGCTCCGTCTGGTGAAATTCCAGGTACTCACTGTAAACATAAGACATCATGGTGAGCTCTCACTTCTGGAGGGATCTGGGCAGTTGCTAACCTTTGCCTTTTGAGATGGGGTTAAGAATAAGAATCTCAATCAGTCACATCTATAATCTCAGTACATGGGAGACTGCGGCAGGACTGATATGTATTCTAGGCCTGTCTGGGCTTTACAGTAACTCCCAGGCTAGCCTGGGTTATAGAGTGAGACCCTGCCTCCCTCTCCTCTTGGGAAAAGAATCAAAACTTTGCTCTGTGGCTGGGGAGCATTTTGGAAGCACATCTGATCTTGTCTAGTTTGAAGACAGGGAGAGAGATGGGGGGAGTCTCCCTGTGAGGATGAAAATCCAGAAATGAGAAGTCAACTGGGAGGGAAGAGTCAGTCAGGCCCTGGGTCACACAGTTTTGTCTCCCTGTGGTGACTGCATATTCAGGATGGTTTCAGAGCCCTTTACAGGGTGTTTGCATGTGTGTATGTTTGAGGCAGGCTGTGTAATACTATGCCATCCAGGCTGACTGACCTTTTGATGATCCTGCCTTGGCCTCCTGAGTGCTGGGTAGAATTACAGGTGGCATCTACCACACAGAGCTCAAAACCCTTCCTTAGCAATTTCTAGTGAAGCTGTTGCTGTCGACCATGGTCTAAGTGAAGTCCAACCCTGCAGAGATTGGACTTCACTTAACAATAAACACGCAGACACTATAAACACACCACTGTGTAAAGCCCGCTTTAGTGCCACGGATACGACATGCAATCCAAATGTCTCCCATCTGGGAGACTTATTAAAAACTGCCTCAATGATAGAACAGGAAGGAAACACCCAGTGAAATATGCTGGTATGCTTTTTTTTTTTTTTCTTCTGCAATCCCAGCACTTGATAGGTGGAGATGGGGTCAGAACTGCAAGGCCATGATTGTCTACACAGTGAGTTCAAAGCCAGCCTGAGCCGCACAAGACTCTTACTCAAAGCCCAACAAAAGAATAAAATAGCAGTGGCACATATGGCTGTTTTCAGAACTGATTTCCTAATACTACTAGCTTTTAGGAAGGAAAAAAGGTTATTTTAGGAAGGAAAATGCCCAAAGGGCATCGTCAAATCCATTGTTCTTACTCAAGTCCATTTTTCAAGGCCCTGTAGACCTCCTCCACTCTTTTCGGCTGAGGCTCTTTGGGAGTGTTGTTATTTTTGTGTCCTAAATTGTGCATTTTCTTCAGCTTAGCCTGAGGCTTCTTGAGAGCAGAGGCATTTTCAATGAAGGAGTTACACCTAGAGAAAGAGAAAGGAGACTGTGAGCCTCACACATCAAAAAGGCCCACCAGGGAAACACCTTTGAAATCTTGCCTTCATCCTAGTGCCCGGTGAAGGCAACATGACCCTGGGTAGATACAGATCCCAACTGGCCACATTTCCTTTCTTGATGTTTGTTGCAAATTTTGCTGGGCAGAGGCTACCCTGTGGCATAGCTAGCTTTGAGTTGTCTGCCTTTTGAGGGTGCTCTTGTAGTCTAGCTCAGAGTGAGCCAGGAATAAATGTTCCAGGTGGAAACAATGAATAGGTAGAAGTTAAATCAAGCCAAAAGGAAAAAAAAAAGTTCTGTGCATAATATCAGATATAAACTTATACCTCAGCTAATTTTCTAGGGCATTAAACAAAAACACATGTAGCTTGTACTCAGAGCTCTCCTTGAAGTATTATTTATCTTTTTTCACTTTTTAAAAATTCTGTTTTTGCTTGTGGGGTCTGTGTGTGTGGGTGCTATGCATGTGTGCACACATGTGTATGGAAGCTGGACACTGACGTTTGGGTATTGTTCTTTATCATTCTTCATATTACTTTTTTAAAACAGTTTGTCTTTAAACCTGGAGGTCCCTTGGAAAGGGAGAGCATCACCCATGGGGCAAACGGAAGATGAATTTCCTTACATGCTACCCATTCACTCTTTGTACTTCCTTGGTTTTATGCGAGGAGGCGATTTCAGGGAAAGTAGGGTATAATCTCCCAACTCCCACCTGAATAATCAGTTCCCCAGAGTCACTCCGTGAGGCATAGTCTTCATTCACTGCCTACTTTCATAGTCTCCAAAACAGGAAGGTAATGGAAAGTGTGTTTTAAAGGGGTTGGAAGTAGGGCAGGAGGGAGTCCACACTCTGGGGTCCATGGCTAACAGTGGTACCTATTAGCAAACCAAAGTGCATGCTCACCTCCAGGCTCTCTCAGCATGACAAGTACCTGTCAACAGAGTCCATGCTGGCACCCTGGCTCTTCTCACCCACTCCCAGTGCTAAGCTTCTCCAGCTCGTGGGCTTTCCTTCCCCTATTGTCTGATTCCTATATAACCCTGCCATTTTAACCATGTATTGTCTTGGCCCTCTTTGCCACCTTTCTTGGCCTCCTCTCTCGCTCTCCCCACCACACACACCCCATGGCCCAGTGCGCTTTGCTGGCCATGCTCAGTGAGAGTGTACTACTTTCTCTCCAAGCTCTGGACTCTTCCAGATGCCTCTGGCTGTACACTCCCTCACATATCCATTAAAAAACAACCCCTCAACCATACCTCTTATCGTTCATGTCCCCAAAAGTGAGGACATGATTGCTCATAATAGCTATGAGCCAGCCATTTACATACACACATCTTTGCACAAGAAATTCTAAGTGATAAAATGATTGCACTTAATTCTGGGTGAGTTATGCTTTCCATGGAGAGGACATTAACTACCACACAGGCACATTGATGAGGCACATACATCAGCTCCTGCCTCTTTCTGCTGCATCCCAGGAGGAGCACTCAGCACTTGCCTGGATCGCCTTTCCTGCAGGCCACTAAAGCCGGCGAAGGACTGGCTCCGAATGATACCATTGGGCCCTCCAGGGGAGAAGGATTGGGATCCCACCAGCATGATTTCTGGGAGTCTGGTTGGCAGTCCTGTAAGACAGATGGAAGACCATGGTAACTGTCAGGCAGGTTCATAGAGAGACACTGAGCTTGTCGACATCCAGAGGTGTGACAAGGTGAAATGACTCATGAGGTCCTGGTCATGAGGGCCATGGGCTGCTTCTGAGACTTTGCTAAAAAGATACTCATCCACTTACATCAAAATAAATATGATCACACAACGTTCCTGTCACTTAGGTTTCCTTTGGGGGGATATGTGTATATGACACACATGTGTCTATGTGTGTTTGCATGTGTATGGGCATGTGTGCATACACATGTGGACACTTAAGGGGACCATAGGAATCGTCTCAGATAGTGTTCATCTGACTCATTGTGTCAGTCTCTCAACCAAACGCAGAAACAGACAATATGGCTAGTTGACTTAGCTAGCTTGCTCCAGGGATCCCCTGTTTTCAACTCCACAGTGTTGGAAATATAGACCAGCTGCTATGCCTTCCCAGAATTTATGTGGGTTCTGACAACTGGCACTTTATCCTCAAGCCTGCACACTTATTCACCGAGCCATTCATTCCCCATCTTCCCAACTGGCACACATTTCTTTAGGAGTGCCCACTCTTCCTTCCTGCCTTCCTTCCTTCCTTTTCTCCCTCCCTTCCTCTCTCCCTCCCTCCCTCCCTTCCTTCTTTTCCTCTCTTTCTCTTCTTTTTCTTCCGTTCCTTCTCCTTCCTCTCACCCCCCTTCTTTCTTAGGATCAACCACGGGTTACTAAAGACAAGAACATTTGTGATGGTTCAGTCCATTCAATTGTAACAACAGCACTGCATAAACGAGCCACCATCAAGATTTCAGATAAGTCCAACAACCTGGAATTCAAAACATGGTTAGGCTACAGATGAGATTTTATGTGTAAGACTGAAAATACAAAGTTTCTTTAAAGATGAACTTATTTAAACTCACTCCCCCTTTCTCTTCTTATTTTGATATATGAGACTGTGTCACTAAGTTGGCTGGGCAAATAAGAAAGGGTAGAAGGAGTGCTCACAAAGGAAGTGATAATCTGGGTTAGATAAGAAGGCAAGAGAGGTAGGAGGCCTCGATCCTTTTTGAAGCTTTCTTGGGTTGTTTGTTTGGCTTTGTGAACATTCTCTGTGACAGACCAAGGTGCAGTGTCAAAACACAACTTCAGCTGGACAGAGGCCCTAGGTTAGTTCCCCAAGGGACTGTCCTAGAACTGTGAGGTAACCCTACCCACAGTCAACCAAAGCATGTACCATTGTCTGAGCAGGTGATGCCAGCCCAGGCAGGGGCTGAGCCAGCAGGAATAGGTGAGTGTCCACATTGAAACCTCCCAAGGCAGACACACCAATTAGTATCACTCATTGTTCTTTAAGGGACATAGGAGAAAGAAAGAAAAGCTAAGCCCTCAGAGAGCAGACCCCTTCCACAGGGCCACAGGGCTTTAAATCCCTACCCCTCTGGGGAAAATGTGCCTTATTGCTGGGGACAAGGTACTCACTCACTGGAAGTTCAGTCTGGGGATGAATAGTACGCTGACTTTTTCTTGGAATGGGTCAAAAACCTCATCGCTACCAAAGACAGAAGGGATACTATAAATGTAATCAGATAGAAATCCGTAAAGATAATGGGCTATGCGCAGTGACTAGGCATGACGAAGCTGTCCCTCATTACTCCTCAGAGACACCAGTTTCTTGAATTCCTCAATAAGCTCCCACAATTGCTCTCTCTGGCCCTTAGGTTTCTGTCTACATTTCACTGAAGACATGGTCCTTAGGCTCACAGAGCTGGCCCACACAGCATGATGTCATCTGCAAACTTCTAAAAGTCATCAAGAAGGCATTATGGCTTGTGACTTTCTTCACTCCATTTGTTTTTGTTTGCTTTCCCTTGGTGCTAGGGATTGAACCCAGGGCCTCCCACATACTACTCAGGAGCTCTATCACTGAGCTACACTCCCACTCCTGTATTGAATCTCATCTCATTAAGTCTCAATTTGACAAATCTTTTACATTTCATGTTATTATTTTATGTGTATAGTTCTTTTGCCTGCAAACATGTCTGTGCACCACAAGTTCAAAGTGTTAGCTGAGGCCAGAAGATGGCATCTGTAACTGGAGTTATAGATGGTTGTGAGATTCCCAAGTGGGGTGCTGGGAATTGAACTCAGGCCTTCTGGAAAAGCAGCCAGTGGTCCTAACAGCTGAGGCTTCTCTGCAGTCACAACTTGACGGACGAATCTTATTATTGTGCTTCATTTTGTAAATTGTTCAACAGGTCTAATGAAGCATAGCCATTTGATTAAACACAAACAAGAAACTTTTTTTTATTTAATTTTATATAACAAAAGTCCAATTAAATGAAAACAAACATTTATACACAATATTTGGGAATTTGGGCGTCGTTCTTTCCAAACTACTTCCTGCTGGTAAGGGGCGCTGTCTTGGGGGATTCGAAGAAGATTCAGATATCCTAGCTGTAGTCTGTAGGGCTGTTTTGTCCAGCTGACAAACAAGAAACTTTAAAGCTGTTTAAAATATTTGACTTTCACGCTTCCTAGAAGTTATGTGTATATATTTTGTTGTTTCCTTTTGGTGTGAGTGTTTTGAGAAGGAGTCTCACTATGTAGCCTAACTTGTCTTGGAACTTACTAAGCTGCTCAGGCTGACTTTGAACTCATAGAAATTCTCCTGCCTTAGCCTTAGGCAGGGTCTCACCAGTACTGGCTGGCCTGGAACTTGCTGCATAGAGAAGGTTGGTCTTAAACTCGTGATGAGCTTGCCACCTTTGCCCCTGTTCACTAGCACAGAAGGGTGATAAAGTTAGAATTTTTTAAACCCCAAAGATTTTTGTCTCTCTCTTATTCTTTAGAACAGTAGATTAAGCTACAGTGGTCTGGCTCCAAGCCTCAGGCATTCTAGGATAATTAACACAGGCAATGACCTGTTTATACAGCTGTTCAAAAGGCCCCTCAGGTGATGTTGAGCGAGTTGGGAAGATGCTGCTTTAGAAGTTCCATTACATAAATCATTTGCACTTATTATAGACTTGAAACAAAACGGAGCAGAAGAGAGCAAAGGAAACTGTCATGTTGGGGAAAATGTAAAACCTACAATTGAACAAATCCTAATGTTTTCTTAGATTTTATTCTTTCTTTTTTATTTTATATTCATTTATTTATGTTTAGGCTGGGTATTGTTATATAACTCAAGCTGGCCTGGAATTCACTATGTACCAGGCCTGGCCTCAGTCCACTGAATGCTGAGATTATTGTCCACCATGCCTGGCTTGTTATTCAGCCTTGAGCCCCTGTCTGCAAAATTCTGGTGTCATAGTAGGTGAATGAAATGCTCCATTACAGAACCTGTGTCCCAGATTGCAGTCTGCTTGTTTTTCCTCTCTTTCATGGGCACAAAAGCATTGAGAAGCAGGAGTTTGTGCAGGATTTTAGGATATCCATGTGCTAGAAGATGAAACATTACTCGGAAACTTTTACTAGCATCCTGTGGGGAATAGGTGACTGTTAGGAGTATGGCTGGGTGAGGGAGGAATTTAACTTCAACTCATCTCATCCATCCTAGCAATGATCATTATCTACCAAGAAGAATTTGAGACGTGGTTTATGTTGAAATCTCTATGCTTCCATCAGTTCCCCTGTGACAGACACACAGACACACACACACACACACACACACACACACACACACACACACACACAGCAAATCTTACAGAGTTGAAGTAGTGGGTTTTCAGTGTGGGACACAACTGACCAGTGGGGATTGTACAAAACACCTTCCCCCAACTCTGCAGGTCTCCAGACTCAGAAGGAAGGGGGATAAATCTTTTTTCTGTTTTTGAGAGAGGTCCTCAAATTTGCTATGTAGTGGAGGCTGACTAAGAACTCCTACCCCTTCTGCACCTATCTCTCAGTGCTGGGATACAGATGTATACCACCATGCCTAGCTAAGTGACAGTTCTTTGCCATGGTTCTTCCAGCTCCTACAGCCTTCAGTACCTGGAAATGATCTTGCATTTTTAACACTCCATTCAATTTGAATGTGAAATGTTCTTTAAAGACAAATGTGTTTGAAACTTTGTCTCCAGTTGGTGGCACTGTTTTGGAAGATTGTAACAATGAGAAAAACTATCCATGTTACTAGGCTTGGTAGAATGTTTGCCCATCATTCACAAGACCCTGGGCTCAATGCCCAGCACCATGTGTGCACACAAATCATTATAGAAGTGGTTAATGCACTGTGGCACAACCACTAAGGTAGAAAACTCTATCATGGTGAAAACAATGATAATCAGAGTCCAGCATGCATGTCATCCCAGCCCTTAGCATGCTGAAACAGGATGAGTGAATTCAAGGCCTGTCTTGGGATGTATAGCAAGATTCTGTCTCAAAGATCCAATAATAATACTTAAGCTGTCATGTGATTTTTTAAAGAAAGAACTCTAGGACATGCTGGGCAATAGTATATTAGGAATGATAAGAACTATGCCCGTGGATGGAAAAGGAAGCATAGACAGTTGTCTATGGACAGGTGGGATTGAGTGGTAGTCAGCAACATTGTAGTATTTTCTGCATGTTGGTCTTATAGAGATTAATACATGTATTATTTATGGAAGCAAAATTCCCTTTCTTGAGATTCTAGACCCTTGGAGTTGGGAGTGGAGAGAAGACAGTTTATATCAGAAATCATGTAAGATAGCTGTTAGGTGACAATTTTGTTTTTTATTTATAAATCTTGCAGAGAAGAAGTATGATTTCTAAGAAACACTGTAGTAGTAGAGTTCATATATTTTGACTGGATTCGAGCAAGTCACAATTCCCCATCATGTACTTATTCTGAATGTTTAGATATATATAACAACTTCCTGACTTTCATTCAAAACTGTCATAGATTACACCAGATCTACACTGCTATGCTTCATCAAAAGCATTTCCAGTAAGCATAAAAAACTACAGACTCATTTTTGGATGTTGTTACTCATATTCAGGACTGCTG